TTTAGTTTACAGTGGTGCCTCGCAAGACGAAATTAATTTGTTCCGCGAGTTTTGTCGTCTTGCGATTTTTTTCGTCTTGCGAAGCACGGTGTCGGAAAAGTTTCGGAAAAGCTTCAAAAATCACCAAAGTCTTCAAAAACCTCAAAAAAGGCTACCACACCGCGTGCTATGAGTTGCTCCTCGAAGTCAAGTCGCAACTGTATTAACGGTGTTAAGAAAAAGGAAACAAACTTGCAAGCCGTTTCCGTCTTGCGAAGCAAGCCCATAGGGAAAATCATCTTGCGAAGCAGCTCAAAAAACAAAAAACCCTTTCGTCTTGCGGGTTTTTTGTCTTGCGAGGCATTCGTCTTGCGAGGTACCACTGTATTGTCGATTTTAAAACATTCAAAAGATAAAGTGTTGCTTTTACTGATAACTTTGTTTTAGTCTCCTTGTAAACTGCTTTGAGCTTTGCTTTTTTAGTCAAGTAGTGTATCAATTTTATGAAATAAATAAGGTAAATCTCCCATCAGTCTCTGTCAGCATGGCCTTATGGCAGTGGGGCTGATGAGAGCGGTTGTCCAAAACCTCTGGTGAGCACCTGGTTGGGGGACACTGCTTTAAACCATTAATCAAAAGCGTGACTTGACAATGGCTTCAAATTTCTCTTTCAGGGTGACACCTCAGGAGACTACAGGAAAGTCCTGCTCCTCCTTTGTGGTGGGGAAGACTAACGGCCCAAATGGCCTCTTGCCTTTTCCTGCACCCATGCTGCCTGCAGTCTCAATCTCTTGCAGTAATCCTTTTATGCCAGTTTTGCATCATGCTAACCTAGATTTTGTGTACTATAATAGGTTTGGAAATAATTTCTCCTTGGAATCATTGGCAGATAATATACGTGTGGGGAGCTCTGAATCTTTTTTGTGCCCTGGCTTCTAAAATTGGACCTGCAAACGTGTTTGTGATTTAAACAAAAAAACCCACAAAACCTGGCAACTCTCAAATTTCCTGCAGGTCCTCTTGACTAGGTTTCATTTCTCTATACTCCTCACTCTTGAAGGGATTTCACAGAAGGGACTGCTGACCACCTAAGTCAGCCTTCCTCACCTGGTGACCTCCAGCTGTTGCCAAACCACAACCGCCTCCATCCTTGGACATTGACTACAGACCGGTTGGAGTTGGTGGGAGTTACTCTCCAGAGGTTTTGGGCTGTATCAGGCTAGGGAATAGATCAGGCACATCCAACTCCCAAGAGACTGTGATCTACTCCCACTATAAAAATACTGGCAGCGATCTACCCATTGTCAATGCCAAGAGCTGTTGAACTTTTTTGGGGGAGAGTTAATCAGAGTTGTTGAGCTTTGTTTAGGGATTGATCAGGAGCACCACAGAGATCTCTTACTTTGATCCTGTGGTCGACTGGGAATGCCCCCGCGATTGACTGGTAGATCACGATTGACCTGTTGGACATGCCTGCTGTAGATTTATAAATGAAACATAGGCCTTCCTTGCAGTCTGAAGTGAAACAGAGGAAACTGCCTTATATTGAGTTAGACCATTGGTCCATTAAGCTCAGCACTGTCTACACTGACTGGCAGCAACTCCCAAAGATTCCAGAAAAGAGTCTCTCCTGGAGATTCCAGGATGGTGCTCTGGGGCGCTTCCCCAAAGTACACCCCCCACACACAACTACACCATCATATACAGGAGGCTACATAAGCATTGTTACTTAACTTCCCATGCCCACCAAAATCAGGAACAAATACTGCACAATGAAGGCAAAAAAAATTCCTTCCAGTAGCACCTTAAAGACCAACTAAGTTAGTTCTTGGTATGAGCTTTCATGTGCATGCACACTTCTTCAGATACACTTCTTCAGATTCTTCAGTGTATCTGAAGAAGTGTGCATGCACACGAAAGCTCATACCAAGAACTAACTTAGTTGGTCTTTAAGGTGCTACTGGAAGGAATTTTTTTTGTTTTGACTATGGCAGACCAACACGGCTACCTATCTGTAACTGCACAATGAAGGGGCAGTGCAGGATTTCAACCCTTGGCCTTGTGACTTGTACTCCTGCCGTCTTCATTTCCCCATAATTCTTTTGGGGTCTCAACAAATAAGGCCCCAAGGCATTCTGGGCAAATGGCAATGGCAGCAGCTGCACTGCCTGGTGCTTGCCTTATTGGTCCAGGGCTCCCTGTAATGACCCAGCCATACCACCTTTACACAGTACCCTTCATACGCATGGCAAGGGAGACTCGCTTTTCAATCAATGTATATGGCAGGGGTCTCCAACCTTTAAGACAAAAAGAGCCACTTGGACCCGTTTCCGAAGAAAAAACAACAACTGGGAGCCGCAAAACCATTGCGACATTTAAAACAAATATAACTCTGCATATATTGTTTCTTACCTTAATGTCCGATCTGACAGCGGGCGGGAAGGTGACATCGGGACGGTGCGTGACTAACGCACGCACCGCCCCCATGCGACGTCACAGCCAGTACAGTGCCCGCCACAGTGAGGAGTGTCGGGGCACACAATGCGCCTCCTCCCCTCGCTAGTATCCACCCCGGAGCCGCGGCAAAGATGTAAAAGAGCCACATGCGGCTCCAGACCCCTGGTATATGGGAACTGCTGCTTGCATGAGTCATTTTAAAAATTGCTCTTTTTAGTAAATCTGGATATTGCCAAGTCCAGCCTCGTGTTTAGTTCCCAAAGTGGGTTGGGCCTCATTCCCATTTATGTGTGGTTGATTTCAGGGATTTTGCCTTTTTTAAGAAAATCAAGTACTTCTGGAGGAAAACGAGGCCAGTTTCAGCTAGACTGTGCTTCTGCCTTCCTCACAAGTTCTTGCCCTTTAGCCACTGTGCATATTTTTTGAAAAAAATGTAAAGCAAAGAATTTCACACATGCTCTGAACAGAAAATCTGTGTCCAGAACAAAACATGTTAACAGCAAATGAATGCAATTTGGGTCCTGTTCAGAATGCTAGAGCACTTATTTAAAACAAAACAATCCTCCCCTGCTGTCTTCTGTGGTGCCTTTAGAATCACAAGTTGTAAATTGCTGTGTCTGTATATATTCTGCTGCCAAAAATGTAACACCTTTTTGTGCCTTTCCTGTGAAATGCAAAAAGTTAAGAAACAGTCTGATACGAAGTCTCAGCACCAAGAGCATAAGTGATAAAGGTTGACTCTTCTGAATGTGATATAGATATGAGTGCAGGAAGCTCTGCCTTTGATTGGAGCAGAAGCATGAAGAGAAATCGTCTTCTCCACTCTTCCACTAGAGAGCAATTCTGATCTAGGAAACAGTTTATGTACAGCAGCTGACCCTAGTGTCACTCACTGCTCAGAAAACCCTCTCATCTGTGCTTTGAAACAAAAAACAAAAACCTGTCAGGTTGTGATTTACTTTTGTTTCATGTTTGCGTGAATTCTATTTTGCTTCTAAAAGAGTGGGAATTGAACCTGAGATTTGAGTCAGGTTTCAGTCTTCTAAAACTAGTTCTCCTTTAGAAGACAACCCTGACTTCTGGTTAAATGGGAAACAACTGTAAAGCCATTGCAAAAAGGTGGGAGTGCAACAGGAGGTTGAAATGGCATCATGCTGCTTGCTTTCCACTCTAATAAACCAAAGATGTGTTTGCTGTAAACTTTGCTTTAAAAAAAAATGGGTAGAAGCCTCCTAGTAAGATGGACAAGAGAAGACTGTAGGGACGGAACATGAGGCTCTGGACAAGCACGCTAGGAAAGAAATATTCTGTAGTGTCCCTTCACCCACCAAAGGAATCTTGCTAAGAACCTAAGAAGAGCTGTGCTGGATCAGGCCAGTGACCCATCTAGTCCAGCATCCTGTTCTCAGAGTAGCCAACCAGATAGCCCAACGGGAAGCCTAAAGCAGGACTGGAACGTAAGAGCAATCTCCCCATCTGTGATTTCCTGCAACTAGCATTCAGATGCATTGCTGCCTCTGATGTCAGCTGAGCATAGACATCATGTCTAGTAGCAATCAATAGCCCTCCATGAATTTGTCTAATCTTTTAAAGCCATAAGTATTGTAGTAAATGAGGGTAGCAAATGTGATTTAAGATTCCCAAAAACATCCCTACAGCTGCCCATGCCACAGCTGGTGAGGAATTGGCAAGTTTAGAATCAAGGAACGTCTCTTTTCTGGAAGCCTTACGAGGGCCTGGGCGTAGCAGCATCTTTGCTTGATCCCAAAAGAGAGAACAGGCTCTAGAGTCAGCTGGAGAGTAGCAGCCACATCATACAAGAAAGTGGGGAGCATCAAAACATGGCAAAGAAAGATGCAGGTCTGTAAGGTTCTGGGGAGGAGCTTATGGGAATTTTATCATCTGCAACCATATTGTTAGTTCAGAGCCCTTGATTAAGGTACTCGTTTTAGAGAAGCAGCGACTTGGGTCCCCAAGAGGACATGCTGCTGGAGAACTCCATGCTCTGCCAAGGTTGAGAGTTGAGTTTAAGATCTAAACTTCGGATCCAGATTTCTGAAGGAACAAAGACGCCTCCTCCCTATTCCCCTCCTTGCAAGGGTACAGACAAGCATTTCTCATTCTCCAACATGGAAAGGAGTGCCTTTACATCATGGCAAAGGACAGGGCCCTCTCCACTGTAGTGTGCTGCTTATAGAATGCCCTCCCCTCAAGAGTACAAGTAGTACAGATGCAGAATAGGAAAAGTCGCCCCTCCTTGCCTGGGTTTCTGTTGGCTACTAGGTCTTCAGTGTGCTGCAGCAACTGGTGTTTCTTCCCCTGGGTGTCAATTTTAACAATGTTTTGAATATCTAAGGCATGAAAATTCTTCCTAGTCTTAACTGTTTGTGTCATGCCCTAGGATGAAGGTCAAGCTGGAAATACATTTAACAGATTAACCCAAACTACCCTTCTTTGGAGGAATTGGCCACTGACAGCTCACTTTCTCTCTCTGGGGCATCGTATTGACCGAGACTGCTGAGCCACTAAAGACACGCGTAAATAAACAATTCAGAGGCCAAGGCTTGTCTTGGAAATAGTATTTTCCTCCAAAAATAAATAGGATACAAATGAACATAGGCCAAGTGCAAAGTTAGACAAAACTGGGTCCCCTGCAGCTGCTAGTCCATTTCCTCTTCCTCCTGGACAGGCAGGAGGCTGCTCAAACTCTCCCGCGGTGGCTCTGGCACATGGGGATCGTATGTCCATCTGGGAAAAACCCGCTTGTAGAGGGTCATCAGCACCGTGTCCTGGGACTTCAGCTGCCCATCAAACTGACATTTCATGTGGCCATGGGTACCTGCCAGCAGAGAAGAGATGGGGAGACAGCAGTTTAAAACACTGTTCAGAGAGAGAGATCTGCTGGCATGCTCATCATAAGCTAAGCGCCCCCATCCCCTTCAAGAGCTGGGCCCGCATACTTACCCAGAGGCTCCTTGATGTGCCCCCGGCGCCCCCACTTGGTCCGGAGCTCCACTGGCTTGAACCACAATACATCCTCTGTAGGATATGAGAGAAAGCAAAGAGTAGGTGGAACTCAGCTGCTGCCCACTGGTACACATTCCAAAATGAAATTCCCTAGGCCTTGCTTTCATTCACAGGGTGCTCTGGAATACAGTGGGGTGGAGGGTGTCCATAGGGTAGCACTGAACTAGCAGAACCTCCCTCTGGCTCAATATTCAGGCACTGCATTCCCAGGGGGAAATGAGTGTAGATTATTAAATTTATTTACATCCCACCTTTTCCCTGGACTGGGACTCAAGGCAGCTGACACAAATTAAAACAACACAGGTAAAACACAAAAAGCTAAAAAGCAATTAAGCTATATTAGAATTGAAACTATATAAAACAAATCTATTAAGATACAGTGGTACCTCTGGTTGCAAACGGGATCCGCTCCGGAGCCCTGTTTACAACCTGAAAGGAACGCAACCCGCTTTTGCGCATGTGCGTGACATCATTTTGCACGTCTGCGCATGCGCGTGCGGCGAAACCCGGAAGTAACCCTTTCCGGTACTTCTGGGTCACCGTGGGACGCAACCTGAAAAGACGTAACCTGAACCGAACGTAACAAGAAGTATGACTGTACAGACAATAAAAACAGCATGGCACTATTAGAGCTCTTTCCTTAAAAAGCAGTCAGTTCCCTAAGACCTGTTGGAATAAAACTTGCCAGCAGAAGGACAAGAAAGGGAGCCAATCTAGCTTCTCTAGGGCCCTCCAGAGACTCGAAGCAGCCACTGAGAAAAGGGCCTTCCTTGAAGATCTGAGTCTGGGGTTATTCCACAGCAGCTTAATTGCCATCCCATAGACAAACCCACCAGACTGGCAGCATGTGGACAGGCAAGGCCTGCGCTGCCTTGCAGACCCAAGTCTAGGGCACTTCCCCAACTCCTCCCTAACAAGCAGCAGCTCTGCCAAACACTCTTCCCTCTGGGTCCCACCGTACCTCTGTTGAAGAACATGTAGCGCACAACAGCCATCTTGCTGAGGATCTTGAAAGGGTGGCCGCTGAGCACCACCCGCTTGATCACCAGCCGGTCAGGGTCGACACCGAGCAGGGAGCCTGTGGCCAGGAGGCTGTGAGCTCCTGCAGAGAAACGCAATTATCAAGCGTGCTGCTGGATGGGCAACAGCGCTCAGTTCTAGGAGCCAGCTCACCACAGCCTGTGCAATAAATGCAGGCTTCACCCAGCCAACAAAACAGTAGTGGCCTTGCACCACTTTTCAAGATATCAATAGTAACCAGCTGGCATCTATGGCGAGGGGCTGGAAATGCTCTTGGCTCAAAGCCAAAGTCGTCAATGCTTTTCTGCTATCCATGCTTAAAAAAGTAAAGGAAAAGGAACAGCCACCCACACATCACAGTGACCATTCAACAGCACCAACACAAATATTTAAAAACTGCAGCAGTGCCACCAGTAAATAAAACAGGGTGGTTCAAACAGACAGCTGTTCCCAACAAGCCAAGTAGATTCCAAGCTGCTGTAAAAACAGCAGTTCCTAAACTTTTTCAGGGCCACTCCCCATTTGTTCCATAAACTCACACCCCCCCAGTGTCCCCAATGCTACAAAAATCATTATTGCATGAACCAGTAAGGAAGACAGCAACACAATAAAATTCAAAACACATTTATTCAAAAAACCATTTCAAACTATTTGGTTCAATGAATTCAACAAAACCCAAGGGAACTGATGCAGTGATGCCAGCTTTTCAAAGTCTTGGACACCTCTGCTTCCCCCTGTCTGACTTAGTGCCCCCCAGGTAATCCCACCCCCACCCCCAGGGGGTGATACTGCCCACTTTGGACACCACTGCTGTAGACAACCTTCCCCAGCCCATCACCCGCTGACTGCTTCGGACTACGCCTCCCATCAGCCCCAGTCAGCACAACTGTAGTCCAAAGCATTGGGAGGGTGGCAGACTGGAACAGGCTGCTGCTCATGGGCAGGAACTGAGGCAGCAGCAGGAAAAGCCCCAGGGATGACAACCCACCTGCCCCAAAGGCCCTCCCCTTAATACCAAACTCACCATTGCTCTTCTGTCTGAAGAGCAGCACAGAAGCAGGTGGGAAAGTGATAGGGCCGTAGATGGTGGCAACCATGGCGGTGTCTGCCCGCAGAAACTGCTCCAGCTTGTGCTTGTCAGCTGAGGGAAGGAAAGCACACCATCAGCCCCTGTCCTGGAGCCGCAGGAAAGTCTCTTTCACCAATCCTCAGCCCCATTGTGGAATTACAAGGCTACAGAGCTCTGTCCAGGAAAGCTCCCAGGGGCAGAACGGAAAGCTGTGGCTGCAACCTCTGCCACTGAAGGACCAGCCTCACCTTGCTCCCCTTTTCCTGGGAGCATCAGGAAGGAGCTGCCTGGTACTCAGACCAGGTCAAGCAAGTGCGTCTGTCTGGCTCAGGGCAAGTAGCTGTGTGATGTTCCAGGCAGCACTGAAGCCCAGGATGATGCAGCTAGAAAGGTAGCAGGGGCCTTCTGCATCCCAGCCTGAAGGTCCACCTGGTCTACCTTCCAGCGGTAGGTGGAGCAACAGATGTGAGTCTTACCTTTGGCTCATCATTGGCTAGCAGGCTATATAGTATTCCAACCATGCAAACATCAGACACACACAAACACACTTCTTTGTCCAGGCAAACAATGTAGTGCAATTGCACCTCACACCCACCCCTTACTTGCAAAAATTGAATTACATGCATTCTGGTGGCACCCTTCCAGGCAACAGCTGCAGTGGAGGAAGGAGAGAGACTAGGACAGAACAAAGGAAGGAGGCAGGCAGGGGAAGAAGAAATATTTTTCTCTGCTCGGTAGACAGATGGAGGTGCAAGCAGAAGATAAAGGCTGGAATGGATCTGCAGCAGCTGCCTGCCTCTTTGCTCCCTTCTGCAGCCAAGGGAGCAGCGTTTAGTCACCTGACAAGTGGAGACACAGGGAAGTCCTCCACATGGGGTTCCCCCCATTGCCAGCCAGCAGCTTTTGGCTATGTGCAATTTTGTGTACATGTGCTGCTCCTGGAACAGAAGCCTCGTGTGAGATGCATTTGCACTATACATTCCAGATCACCCAAAGTATTCAACGACGGCACAACACAGGGCTGGGGCATCTGAAGACCCACTACCCTGTTCCACATGTTCAGCATAGTACTTTCACTTCTCTGGACACACACATTCACAGAATTGTCCAGACTTCTCTGGACACACACATTCACAGAACCAACTGCACGGGCCGAAAAAGGAAGCCTGGGGCACAGGAGGGGGGAAACGCTCATTCACCTGAACTGTGCTGGGAGTAGAGCGGGGAGGCTCGGAAGCGGCGGAAGCCGCAATGGACAATCACCTCCTCCTTAGACCGGACAGGCTCGCTGTCACCCGGCTGGCGTCTCACCAGGAGGTTGAGCACAGACATCTGCAGAGAGTGCGGAGAAGAAAAGAGGGAGCCTTAGGAATAGCCCAAACTCACACCCAAGACAGACAAGAGAAGCCTCTGATCACCAAATGATTGTCAGGTGTCATAAGAACAGAACAAGATCCTGGCTGCAGGATCAGGCCAAAGGGGGCCCATCTAGTCCAGCATTCTGTTCTCACAGCGGCCACACGGCCCTGGGAAACCTGCAAGCCAGACAAGAGCACAAGAGCACTTTCCCCTCCTGTGGTTTTCAGAAACTAGTATTCAGAAGCACTGCTGCCTCCAACTGGGGAGGCAGAGCAGACCCATTGTGGCTGCTAGCAATCGATAACCCTCTGCTTCATTAATTAATCTTCTTTTAAAGCCATCCAGGTTAGTGACAAATCACTGTGGGAGGGTGTTCCAGAGTTTAACTATGCACTTCATGAAGAAGGACTTTATTTCATCTGTCCTAAATCTTACATTCTGCTTCATTTACATTTACATTCTGCTTCATTTGGATGTTCACAAGTACTTGTGTTGGGGGGGACGGGACTTTTCTTTATCTACTTTCTCCATGCGATGCTAAATTTAACAAGCTTCTATCATGTCTCTGCTTACTTGCCTTTTCCTTAAACTAAACCCAGTTGCTGCAACCTTTCCCCTTGATCATTTTGGTTGCCCTTCCAACGTTAGACAGGTTCAGACATTGTGATGAAAAGCTGTCAGCTTAAGTGAAGGGGGCACAGCACAGCTGGGTGTGGCCAGAACCCCCAATTGCTCCATTCACCTTTTGTTCGTAAGGAAGCAGCGTGAAGAGCAACAGAGGCACCTGCTGCCGGAAACTCTCCATGACCGAGACGGGGACACTGCAGATGTGCAGCGTGACATAACAGCCGACCTGCGGAAAGGAAAGACAGAGAGTGAAAGAGCGATCCTGGCAGCGCCTGGAGCAAAGTAGGAAATGGTGGGTTCAGAAAGCAGGAAGGAGCAGAAACTCTGCCCATCAGCAAACAGGTACTGGAGACCAGAAAAGGACTGTAAGCAATTTGGAAACACCAGCCTTTACCAAGCTGGTCAACCAAGATGGCCATACAATGCTGATGCGAGCTGTCCTTCAAAGCACTTGAAGAGCACCAGATTGGCAAAGGCTGCCCCAGACAACCAAATGCCAAGAGCTGGTTTAAATGTGCACAGACTCATTGCAAGGCATCAGGGGGCCACGGGCTCTCCACCCTGGGCCTAGTTTGCAAGCTCTGATGCAGTTCCACCTGATGCAGTTCCACCCAAACTGAGAAATCTCAATAATAAGCTGAGGTCGCACATCAAGGGCTGCCAAGTGTGCATGCACACGAAAGCTCATACCAATAACAAACTTCGTTGGTCTCTAAGGTGCTACTGGACGGATTTTTTTTATTTTGTTTCGACTATGGTAGACCAGCGCGGCTACCTACCTGTGCCAAATGAAGCTCCAAGTTCCAAAGCCTGCACTGATTATCCTAAAACTGAACAAAGCCTTAATGGGATGCCGGCTACAAACCTCGTTTCACTGAACTATTCAGTTTCTTCAGAAGGAAACAGAAAAATCATAAACCTTAACACCCTACTGAATCAAACCATTGGTTCAACTAGCCCAATACTCAGCAATCTGAAATTAGCAGGGGGACAAACAAGATGCCTTCACCCCAGTGTGGCTCCCCTTTATTACAAGACAACAACATAACCCACACACACACCGGACAGCATACAAATTGATATGGCTACCGTATTTTTCACTCTATAAGACACACCTTTTCCCTCCTAAAAAGTAAGGGGAAATGTGTGTGCGTCTTATGGAGCGAATGCAGGCTGCGCGGCTTATCCCATGCCTGGGATCACTGCACCCAGCTGTCTCCCACTCCTCTGCCCTCCAGCTCTGCAATTTTTTAACAGGACCGATGGGACCAAGGAGCCTTCAGGGTGTATGGCAGAACCAGACCAGATCTGGAGCCTGGAGGAAAGGTCTACCTCAGCTCCACTGCTCTCCTCCTTCTCTAGCTGCCGGAAGACATGTTTCCTCGTCCGTGAGAAATCCTGGAACTGGAAGATCCGGGCATAGTCCCTGGGCAGGTTCTCTTTGGGGTCCCATGGAGAGGTCCGGAAACTTTTTAGTCCTCTGTACTTTTGGAACCTGGAGACAACCAGAGGAAGTCAGCGCTCCAAGAGACCCGGCCTCCTGCCTTTGCCTTTCCCACACTCAGTGGAGGAGCTGCCTGTGAACCAGCTTCAGGAGGAGCTGCAAGGCTCCTCTGTTCCCAAAGCCCAGCCTAACATGAACCTGGGCATCAAGACCCGGCCTCGCTTTGGCAACTGGCCGCGATAAATGTAGCAAATCAGGGCAGACCTCGCCATCCCATTGCAGGCACTCCTACCTTTTCACCCTGCGTGTATGAGGCTCTTACCGGATCCGGGCCGCCACATCCCGCGGTGTGTCCACCTCATCTGGAAACATCTCCTCCTGCCGCTCCTGCCTGTACTTCTCCAGAATTGCCTCGTTGTCCTCCATCTTCTCATCGTCCAGGAGGGTCATGTCTGGACCCTCCTCTTCCTCTGTGGCCTCTTCATCCTCCTCCTCCTCCTCCTCCTCTTCACTGCCACTCCCATCCTAGCATACGAAAAAGCAACCCACATGGGGTTGTGAGAGACAAGAGAGAAAGTGTTTGAAGAAAGAAACCTTTTAAAGGAAAAAGGCACCGTGTCTACGTAACTGGTATACTACTACTTGAAGAATGACATGAAATGAAAAATAAAATAAAATACTAGGCTGGCAGTCAAGACAGACACTCATGGCTTGCCATCTCTCTTTGCTACGCTCTTACAACCATGTTCTTCTTTATGGATCACAGAAGATCCACAGCTGAGTGGAAGAGGATCTGCCTTGCAAGCAACAGGTCCCAGATTCAATTCCTGATGGCATGTCCAGGTAGGGCTAGGAGAGCTCTGCCAGTCAGTGCAGACAATATCGAGCAATATCGACCAATGGTCTGACTCTGCATATGGTGGTTTCCTATCCCCCTCCCCGAATTCTGACCTCTCAGTGCTATGCACCAACAATGCCGCTCTATCCACTAATCTATCTCACTACCAAAACATGTTCCTGGCTCTCAAGAGACGATGCCAAGCAGGAGATGTCTCCTTCTGCTGGGTCCCGCTAGCTCCAAGGTTCAAGCCTCTCTCCAGCAGTTTCCTACTTTCTTCCTAACACAAATCAAGTAAGAGATTCCCTTTGCCTCTCTACCCTACCCTTTGAACACATGCCAAAAGACTTTGACAGTATTGGCAGCAAGCATAGAGTCCAGCTAGTAAGCCAAGCCAACATTTTAGGGTTCCTGCACATCAAGTCCCCGCTTCTTGCACCCAGCTGTTCCTGAACAGTCCAGAATACCTACAATGAATCCATTCTCCCCCGCTCTCCTCCTTCCCCGGCTACACCTTCCTGCTGTGCACTAACCCCAATCCCATTACCTGGGAGATGGGCTCTTCCACCATATTCTCTTCCTTGTCTTCCTCCTCATCGTCATCCTCACTGCCACTCTCCAATTCGTCATTGTTGTCCAGGATCCAGGCAGCCTGGTAGGCAGATGTGCCTTTGGGGACCCTCTTGGTCATCTTCTTCCTCTGTGCCAGGGACTCTGCAAGTGCAAGCACAGTTAGCCAGCATCAGAGAGAGAGAGAGAGAGAGAGAGAGAGAGCTCACCGCTCCTCATCTGGCCAAACTGAAGCAGTTACAGCAAAGGTTGCTTTACAGCACCAGGAAAGTGAAGCTGAACTATTTAAAAGAACACACTGCTTGTGCTTTTACACACTACCATTAAAAAGCGATAAAACGATTTGCTATACCAAAAGCTATAAACCTACCCAGACATTTAAAAAGCTGGCTCAAGCTGCAAACTGTTTTTTCTTTATTGTTATTTAGACTTTCTGGACGTCACAAATAATTCTTGATGATTTTTCTTAGTGATAATTCTATGGGGTTTCCAAAAATAAATAAATCACTTTGAGGGTTTTACTTTTTACAATCAAGCAGTGTATAAAGTTAATGAAATGTATAATTTAACAGGGAAGCAGCGTTTGAAGCCCAACCCAGACCATAATGAGCCTGAAAGAGAAGGAGAGCCTCAGCCCGGCCCACGTGTAAAGTGGCATCCTTCAAGACGGCTGGTCTAAAGGAGGAGGCAGGTAGGATGGACAAGGCTCAGACTGACCCTCAGCCTCCTTCAGCTCCTCCTCGGTGGGCCAGGTCTGCTCTCCATCCATGGGGTCAGGGGTCACCTCTGACTGCAGAGACTCTTGCTTGCTGGCATCAGCCTTGCTGAGCACCTTCACGTCTTCCTCCATCTCCTCTTCTCTCCTGACAAAGTCATCCTAGGAACCAGGAGGGAGAAGTTCAAGCATGGCCACCTGGGGGCAAAGGAGCTGCTTTCGACCCATCCCCCCCCAAGCACTTGCTGCCTCCTCCCTTCCAGTTCCTGCCCCCCCCACCGTACCAGCCAGGGAACAGAACCTACCTGGTCCCCCATGCTCCTTGGGTGTATTTTTGCAGTTCTGGGGTTCAGAGCAAAGGGCTCTGGGGAGGCATCCACCTGACTCATCTGGAAGTCCCCGTGTCCCACAATATGCACCAAGCTGTTCACGTTCAGGCTCCGCCCCCTGACGTAGCCAGACACCTTCAGGGTCCCCACCAAGGCGCTGTCTGTGCTGGGCATGAAAGTGGCAGCAGTGGCCAGCAGGTGAGCCCGCCGGTCTCGGAAGGCCAGGTGCCGCTGCTTCTGGCTGGCCAGGTGCTGCAGCAGCAGGGCGGACTCCTGCTCTGTGTCGAGGGGGAAGAGCCTGTCTTCAGAGAACCTCTTCTCGATGGCTTTGTTCAGCTTCTTGCGACAGTCAACCTGCTTCTTTAGCGGCTGGTCAGAAAGACCTTGAACAGCAAGGCCTGCAGGTGACAAATGGGGAGAGGAGCATCAACGGCTGGGTAGGCTTTAATGTCTGCTTACAGGCAGCTGTGAAGCTCCCTGGGACCCCCCAAGGCAGCGTGGACCAAATCCTCTAGATGCCAGCATGGTATCCCTGAGATAGCTCAGTTGGTAGAGCATGAGACTTCATCACAGGGTTGCGGGTTCAAGCCCCACATACAGCAAAAAGATTCCTGCATTGCAGGGGATTGGACCTGATGACCCTTGGGGTCCTTTCCAACTCTACAAACATAAGCAGCCTTGCAGCACTGACTGGAAGCCCACTGCCCATCCCTTCCATAAGTTGGTATAAGTTCAACAACACAGGGTGAGGCATAGAGGATCAGATCCAAAATTTGTCTCATCTGCCATCCCATTTCCAATTCAGGCCTGCCAAATGTCTCTTGATAAACAGACACAACAGCCCTGCCCTGTTTGTGTACCATATATGTGGCTTGGGGAGACACTGTTAATTAACACGGTTGCTCAATTTAGCACTCACGGGCAGCAGCTGCAAAAGATCTGTCCTTCTTTGTGAATTGGTCTAATCCATTTTAGTATGAGACCTGATGGGCAGCTCTCTCTGACCTCTGCCACCAGCCACAGGCTCAAGGGCCCCCTCCCCTGCCTCCCAGGAAGAACACCATGGCAAGGAGGAGATCAGCCCATCCCCATCTATCAGCCAAAGAAACATGAGCTGCAAGCTTACACCCGCCTTCCCAGCCAGAAATAACACTTGGCTCCAGCTATCATTTGCCCCAAGGGAGAGGAAAGAACCTTCTGGCCCCACCCTTTGGCCAAAGAGAAAAGAGCCACAATCCACTGTTCAGACAAGAACATCAGCAAGGGAGGATCAGCATTGCCTGAACTGAATGTAAATGTTTGTAACTCAGCACTTCATTCTGACCTTGAAGGACTCTTTCCTCTCCCTTTTCCTGTCGCTCTCCACTTTTACATGTTGCATTTTTAGTTTATATGCCAGTGGCAAAGCCTGCCTGCCTCTCTCTAACTTGAGACGCTTTGTCTGAAAATCAGGATAAAAAGAACAGTAAATCCCCCTGTGTCTTAACTGGAGGTTACCTGGCTCCCTCACACAGTCTATAATTCAGATGTTCTTCCTCGTTATGCAGCTTGGCCTCTCCACTTCAAACCCTGGCATCCAAACACTGTTTGGTTCTGCTAGGAGGGGTTTGGTAAAGGAAGAGCCCCCTCCTGCTAGCACAGCAGCTTTCGACACTGTTCTCACCATAGCTGGGGAGGCCCTGTGCAAAGATGCAGGAAAGGCAGTAGTCTCCAGCGGCATCCCAGCCCTCGTGAGGATCCAGCACAAAAAGGAGGGTGTCTGCAACCTTGGCCAGGTCCAGCACAGCATGGAGGTTCCCTGGGTGATAAGAAAGGCACAGGTGAAGGTGAAGGCTGGCATGTTGTAACGACAGTGTCTCAGTACGCTAAGGTGTCCCTACCTGTGTCAGCCACCACAAAGCGCCACCGGAGTCTGGATTGGTGGCACAGCAGGCCAAAACCTGGTGGGCCCATCTTGGTTTGGCACACAGTAGAAGCTGCACTGCTCTGAAACAGGCTCAAGGCTCTCGGGATAGCGACGCCAGCATGCAGCGGGACTACCACCACCAAGTGGGGTGGCCCACCCTTGCGACCCAAGTTCCGCTTTTCTTCCAACACCTGCGACCAAGACAAAGCAAACACAGGTCCTTTCATGGAGGAGAGGACTATTGATGGCCACCGAGCGCAACGACTATGCTCTGCCGTCAGAGGCAGCAATGCTGCTGAATGCCAGCTGCTGGAAACTGCAGGAGGGGAGAGGACACTTTTGTTTGAATCCTGCTTGCAGGTTTCCCACCGGCATCTGGAATAGATGGCCCCCTTTGGCCTGATCCAGCAGATGCCCTTCTTATGTTTTTTTCCCTCCCCTGTAGAAGCAGGAAGAGGCTTGCCCTCCACTCCACCAGCTTCTCACTGACTCACCATCTCCCTGCACTGCCGGCGGAGCTGCCAGGCCCGGTGCTTGCGGTCCAATTTGGCCAAATTGCGGTGCCGCTGCTGGCTGAGTGTCTTAGCAGGGACCCGGCCTAAGGAAAGGGCGGAGAGAGAAGAGAAAAAGCTCTCAATGCGTATGGTGCTACGCTACACATAACAGAATTCAGAGGAAGACATGCAGTTAGGGGAACTGTTTAAATACTGCTCTTGAGCATAGGCACCCACACTGCTGAGCCAAGCTTATCATTATGACTCATTGCCCACCAATCATTTTATTTATTTATTTAATCAAATTGATATATCGCTTGATTGAATAAAACCTCAAAGCAGTTAACAATATGAATAAAGCGAGAATTTTTTTCTGTAAAAACAATCAAAACGTTCCAAAAATTAAAAACAGCTATAAGCTAAAAACACACCAGCGTTCTAGATAACTGGGTATTTAAGCAAAAATGTTTTTAGCAGGTGCTTAGAAGAGTGCAGTGAAGGCGCCTGCCTGGTATCAATAGGCGGGGAGTTCCAAAGTTCAGGCGCTGCCACAGGGGAAGATCAATTTCTTACAGCTGCAGAAAGAAGCGCTATGTGGCACCTGTAATCCTGCCAATTCCGCTGATCGAAGTGGTTTCAAGAGGGCGTACATGGGGTAAACGGGGGTCTCGCAGCTAAAGTTCTCTGGCACAGCCATCGGCAGCATCCAGGCTCTACCTGTCTCGGAAGAGCCCCCCCCCCCGAGGGACCAGCTGAAGCAGGAATAGGCAAACTCGGCCCTCCAGATGATTTGGGACTACAACTCCCATCACCCCTAGCTAACAGGACCAGTGGTGAGGGATGATGGGAATTGTAGTCTCAAAGCATCTGGAGGGCCGAGTTTGCCTGTGCCTGAGCTGAAGGATGCCATCGACTTCACGCAGGACAGGACTGCGTATACATGTACAGACGGGCCTCCTTACCGCCCTGCTTCTTCGCGGTGCTCCCGCTGTGCCTCCCGCTCTTGTGCGGCTTGTTCTGCTGCTTCAGGGCCCCGGCCCGGTGGGCCCCGCCGCCTCCGCTCTTCCTCGCCATGGCCACGCGCTCCCCTCGCCTGGGCGCCAGGCAGGAAGTGACGTGATACGCTTCCGCTAACACAAACCAAGACCCGCCTCCAGGCCGAGAATGGCCGCTCTCTGCTGCTGACCTCCTGCGGGGCTGTGGGCCGCTCTAGCCTTCCTCTCGAAGGTTCCCTCCGCTTTGCCAGTCGTACGGCTGCGAAAGGCTCTGCGCAGGCGCGTTGTGTTGTTGTGGGGGCCAGCCGGTACTATGGCGTGTGCCGTTGCGGCGCATGCGCTGTGCGTCGGCCGGTCGCCGTGGCTATAATGGCGGCGGCCGTTGCTGCCGCTGGTCGCTGAGTCGCCGGCGGCCGCGGCCTTGGCGTGGGCCCCATGAGGAGGAGGCAGGCGAGCGGCCATGGGCTTGCTGAGCAGCAGGGCGTGGCGGGGCCGGCCGGCGGCGGCCGCCTCTGCCCCACGTGGCGAAGGTCCGGCGGGGGCTGTGGCGGCGGCGGGCCTGAGGGGCGTCGGAGGCCGAGGCGGGGCTGCCGTCGCCGCCAAGAGGAAGCGGGGCGACCTGGGCGCGTACCCGAGCGACACGGACAGCGACGACGAGAGCGAGAGGGAGGAGCGGCTGCTCAACACCCCGAGGAGGTACTTCGCCTCAGGGCAGCGGCGCGTTCGCCTGCGGGACTCGCTGCCTCAGGATGCCGCCCTGGAGGACCCGGTTGAGGCCTCCAGCGTCCGAGGCAGCCAGCCTCCGAGGACCAGGTGCTGCGGAACAAGCGGGGGCCGCTGCGGGGAACTTCGCTGGGCTGCAGGTGGGGAGGGGGGGAATCATCGGCCTTCTGCAGCCCCCTCCGGGGAACCGAGGCAGCCGCTTCATACCGAGTCAGGCCGTTGCGATTCCTGCATTGCAGGAGGTTGGACTAGATGATCCTCCGGACCTTGCCAACTCCTACCATTCTGTGATCGGCCCATCTTGCTCAGTGCTTTCTACAGGGCCAGTGGTTCCCAAACATTAAACCACAGAGCCTAGGGCTTGCCGATCAGAAGGTCGGCGGTTCGAATCCCCGCGACGAGGTGAGCTCCCGTTGCTCGGTCCCTGCTCCTGCCAACCTAGCAATTCGAAAGCACGTCAAAGTGCAAGTAGATAAACAGGTACCACTCCAGCGGGAAGGTACACGGCATTTCCGTGCGCTGCTCTGGTTCGCCAGAAGCGGCTTAGTCATGCTGACCACATGAAGCTGTATGCCGGCTCCCGCGGCCAATAAAGCGAGATGAGCGCCACAACCCCAGAGTCGGCCATGACTGGACCTAATGGTCAGGGGTCCCTTTACCTTACCACCATAAACTCGTCCCCATGCCCCCCATTATTCAGAATATTGCATGCCTCACTGAGGAAGATAACGCCACAAAATTTAAAATAGTAACAACTGATTGCATATTGAATTCAAAACCCAGTTAAAACTGTTTAGTTTAATTAATTCGGCCTTTCTCAAAGTTGGGTCCCCAGGTGTTGGAATGCAACTCCCATCACACCTCACTACCAGGACCAGTGATCGGGGTGATGGGATTTGTAGTCCAACAACATCTGGGGAGCCAAGTTTGAGAGAGGATGAATTAATTCAACCAAATGTGACCCAGTGGCATCAGCTTGTCAAAATCTGTTAGTCATTTGCTCTACCAGCAGCCACCTGCCACGCCACTTAGTGCCTCCCACTAGGAATTTCTCTGCCCCCTCTGGGAACCACTGGCCTACAGTGACTGAGAGGAGCATTCCAAGGTTTCAGACAAGGAGTCTCTCCCAAGCTGTACCTGGAGATCCCAGCAGGGATTGGACCCAGGCCCTTCTTCAGGCAAAGCACATGCTTTACTTTTGAGCTACTGGCCTTCCCATTTTGCAGATTCAAGCACTATTGTAGCAGGAACAGAAGTTCCAACAGAACGTGCACATGCCTGGCAACATCTTAAAAGTAGCTAAATGACATACATTCCTGGCGCCTTAGGTGAGCCTGTGTTTTAAAGCTAAACTAGATATGATCCTCAGCAGCAGGATGAGGCTGGTAATGCAAAAAAATTATGTCCCTTATGAGAGCCTTCCAGGCAGGTAAAGGAAATGGCATTGGCTGAGCCAGAATATGCTCTGTAGTATCCACTTTTTAAAGGCTTTTTTAGAAGGCTCATGATTGCTTTTAGAATTACTCCTGATTGCTTCAGCTCATAAAGAAGCATGATGTTGGGATAACTGTAGGCTTTCTTAAACAAAATGTAACTTGAAACCAACCTTGTAACCATTGACTTTGGTAAAAACCATGGAAAGTGGATCAAATTGGTTCAATGGGATGCTTGCAAGGAAGGTTCATCTGTCCAACAAGCTTTCAAAATGTTATGTTTAGTGTTACTTGCTGGAATTTAACACTTGTTTTTTTTCCCCCCTTAATCCAGGAAAAAATTAAAAAGCACTTCCAAGTATATATATCAGACTTTATTTCTAAAAGGTGAAAACAGTGATATTAAGATTTGTGCTCTGGGAGAAGAATGGAACTTGCACAAGATATACTTATGTCAGGTAAGAATAAAATATTTTTTTCCAGGCAGATCTTGGGCTCTAATTCTAAATACCTTTCTTAAGGGAGCAAGTCCCACTGAACTCCGTGGAACTTGTTTCTGAGTAAGCATGCAGGGGATAGTGCCGTTAGACACACTCTCCTTATCCCTTGCCTGCCGCTATGTCCAGAATTCTCAAGAGCAGCAGTGAGGTGTACATTAATGGCTAACAAAGCATACTTTAGCTTAGCTTGAATAAATTAAACATAACATATTGTTTCCCTTGGAAAAGATAAGGTTGTCAAAGGGGATATACTACTGTACAAATAGACTTTATTCTTTTGATCTCTCAGGTAAACTTCTGTGAGTGATAGCATCTCATAATGGGGTCACCTCCTGCTGTGATGGAAAGTTCTAGTAGAGCAGTAATTTTCACTTCCTTGGATGGAAAACTAGCTATTTCTAGTTTTATATGAATTACATTTTAATGAAAAGGTATACTTACATGGTGCGTGTGTGTGTATGTGTGTGTTAATTTACCTACACCTAACTTTGTATGGATACGGCAATGTATGTATATGTCTGTAGCATGAGACCACCCTTGTACATCTATCTGTATGTCTTGTATGTGGTTCCTTTTCCAGTACCCTTCTAAATTGCTGCCCATGGGAGTTTTTGTTCAAATTTCAGGCAGTACTCAATATTATTGTAATTACTTCTTCCCCCTCTTGTTTTACAGTTGGTAGTTTAGGTTTGTTTGGATAAAACGATTCATAATCTTAGTTGTGTTTTCTCCAAACTTGTTTAAAACCAGTGTTTCATTACTCCTGAAACAGGAAGTTGTGACTTCATGGTGATGTACTAACCAGGAATGAAAGCCTTGTTTGATCCTGGTTTTTGTTCCTGAATCTATTTCAGACATAATGGGAAACCATAGCTTGCTTTAACTAGGATCAAACACTAGAGTAGGCACATGGGGTGGTGGGTACTACATGGTCTGAACACTCGTTTCTAGTGTCATAAACCATGGCATATAAAGTTGAGAGTGTTCAAACTGATACTTTAGAGATCAAACATGCTTGAAATAAAGGCTAATGAAGAATTTGCTTGAAATTTATTAGGAATGGAAGAGAGCTGCCATAATGCCTCCTGATATGGACATACAGCTTTCTTTGTACCATATTAATTTGCATATATTCTTACATTTTAAGCATTTGAATTAAATTCAAGGTCTTTTTTTTTTTTAGTCTGGCTACTTTTCGAGTATGTTCAGCGGTTCTTGGAGGGAATCGGAAATGGATACAATAGAATTGGAAATTCCTGATCAGAATATTGATGTAGAAGGTAAGCAAAGGATGATGTTCCTTTTTTACAGAAGACGTGGGTACTTGTCAAGTCAGCTAAGATTTTTTTTTTTTAATTATCAAAAGTTGTTTATTAAAACATTATTTGAATCACATTTACAGTTGGAAATTTGGGGAATGTGCTGGGAGAAGATTCTAGAGAACTCATTAGAAAATGGGTTTCTCCATTTGGGAGCAGTGTTAAAGAAAGTAGCCAGGCACCTTGGGACTTCTTTAAAACTTTTTATGTTGTCAATGTGAAATACACAAGATGAATGTCCCACTCCCACCAGAATTTATACAGTGGTGCCTCGCAAGACGAAATTAATCCGTTCTGCGAGTCTCTTCGTCTTGCGGTTTTTTCGTCTTGCGAAGCACGGCTCTTAGCGGCTTAGCGGCTATTAACGGTTTAGCGGCTTTAAGAAAAAGGAAACAAACCCGCAAGAACTCGCAAGACGTTTCGTCTTGCGAAGCAAGCCCATAGGGAAATTCGTCTTGCGAAGCACCTCAAAAAACAAAAAACCCTTTCGTCTAGCGGGTTTTTCGTCTTGCGAGGCATTCGTCTTGCGGGGCACCGCTGTATTACAAAAGAGCAGAGCATTTGAAAATCTGTTTTTTATTTGTTGATGTAGCAAACGGTTGTTTGCTAAAGTCTGCCTACTCTGTTCCAGTGACTTAAGAGTTCCCCCTTAGTTTTAGGTTAGGTTGGCTATTATGGATCATTGGCGTAACGTAGGATTTTATATTTGTCATGTTCCTGGCCTGTCATAATAGCTGTTTCTGTTGAGATGTTTGGCTTCTCCCTGCTGCTTAATACTTCTTAATGCATTTGACTGCTTTTCCTGCACAGGATATACTCCTCCAAGTTTCTTAGTTGTTAGTTCTGCAGTTTGTTTTCCTTTCTTAAGTGTTGTTGATGTGTTGAAAGTTCTTAGAGGGTTTCCGGACATTAAATTTTTAAACATCACTTTGAACACTTGCGTTGGATGGAAAGGAATTAATTAACTAAAAACACTAATAATTTAACTGTGTGTAATATACCCATCCTCTACATTTGCTTTGATGGGATGCTTGTTTCCCAGCCTTACAGGTAGCATTTGGGTCACTTTATCGAGATGAAGTGTTAATAAATCCCAGCAGAGTCATTGCACTCCTAGCAGCAGCCAGCATGCTGCAATTGGTAAGTAGAAACGGCTACCTTTATTTGGCACCCTCCCCCTTCAGTTTATAAGCTATGGGGCATTTGTAAAATGTTTAACTTGGTAAAAGACCCAGTCATCATCCGATGCCCTTTTCTGTGAACCCCCTCCATAGGTGGTTTAGAGGGTGGCAACATGGGAAGGGGCCTTTTCAGTGGTGGTTCCATGCTTGTGGAATTCTCTCCCTAGCAAGGCATGCTGGCACCTTCTTTATATGTTTTAGACACCTGGGTAAAACTTTTTTGTTTTACCTGGGCTGGTGGCCTTTCATTTTGAGGGTTTTCCGAGATTTGTGGGGCAGGATTTGTGAGACCTGTCTTTAATTTGTATAGATGTGTTTTTAAGCTTTTGTTGATTGTGTATGTTATAACAGATTTGTGTTCATACTATTTTTGTAAGTTGCTTTATTCGTCATTTTCCTGACAAAAGGGGTCCAAATATAAATGATGATAATATGTAAAAAGACTCATTTCATAATGCAAATCTGAACATTTTATGAATGCCCTGTAACTTTTCCTTTTAACAAACTCCATCTTCTGCTGCTTCTCTGTATTATATATGCAATATATGTGCTCAAAGGTTGTATGTTCAATCCCTCTAAGGCAGCAATGGGGAACCTGTGGCCCTTCAGCTGGTGTTGGACTTCCAGCTTTCCTTCAGCCCCAGCCAGTATGGTCAAGGTCTAGGGATTTGAGAATAGTGGACCAACAGCACCTGGAGGGCTGCAGGTTCCCTGCTCCTGCTCCAAGGGCTCTCACGTAGGAAAGCTAGAAAAGTGTCTTTTTGGACTGCTGCTAGCAGTTCATGCACACAATAACTAGTTTGACTTGGCATAAATAGTTTATTATGTTCCAAAATGGGGGCAACTGAACGATGATTAAACTGGAGGTATATATACGGTAGGTTTCTTCCAGGCTTTTAGGTATTATCAATACTTTATCTACTGAGTTCACCTTCTTCCTAGGCTATTCTGGGAAGTAGATTACACATACTATTTAGGCATTGGAGATTTTTTTCTGTCATTGTGTATTTTCAGGATGGCTTAATACAGCAATGTGGTGAGACAATGAAGGAAACAATTAATGCAAAAACTGTGTGCAGCTATTATAATTCTGCAGGAACATATGGATTAGATTCCCTGAAAAAAAAGCAAGTATCTTCTTTGCATTGAAATGAGCTTTATCTAATGAGAAGGCATTTCTAAAAATAGTGTGATTCCCCTTGGAATCGCTTTGGGAAGCAGCTAATGTGGCTCCTTCATGGGCATTCTTTCATCTTCCTGTTTTGTACATTACTCTGAAAAGTATGTTCTTTGGGATATGCATGTTCCTATAAAAAATAAGTTTTAGGTAAGTAAAAGTAGGCGTGACATTCTGAAAACATTTCTGTCCAATACAGTGCAGTTGGGACTTCTGAGTATTGTGGGCTGTGGTATCCGGGAATCAGAAAATTGGCTCAGGCTCAGAGTGATACTTTATATCAGGCTTCCTCAAACTCAGCCCTCCAGATGTTTTGAGACTACAGTTCCTATCATCCCTGACCACTGGTCCTGCTAGCTAGGGATCATGGGAGTTGTAGGCCAAAAACATCTGGAGGGCCGAGGTTGAGGAAGCCTGCTTTATATTGTTGGATGCAATGGGAATGTAAGATCCATGGTGGGAGTGAAGGGGATTATAGCAGGGTGGGCGGGCATTGCATGTGGGGACTTCATGGTATATTGTGATATTTGGTAATACGGAGCAATTATCTACTCTGCAAGTTGTTTAAAATGTTCTTCCTAGATGTTTAATTGTTTGGGGAAATCATCTTTCTGTACACTCTGATAAGACTGATATACGTTACATCTAGGTGTCTTGAATGGCTCTTAAACAACCTGATGACACACCAGTGTGTGGAACTCGTCAAAGAACTCAGGTATTGAGATTTCAGCTATCTTGGATTAACTGAGATATTGAGAGATGTTTAGCCTAAAATTATACAAATTTAAATGAATCTGTTCATTGCCTTGACATTTCATGTGCCATGTCTTCTGTTCCAGTATAAACCTCATGAAACAGCTGATCAGTTCCTCTAACCTGTTTGTCATGCAAGTGGAGATGGATGTGTACACTGCTCTGAAAAAGGTAGTAACCAAGGCCCAGATAGTCCTGTTTGTGTGAAACAGGTGCCCTATTGTTGGATTTACACCAAACCAGGCTTAATCCACAGTTGCTCTGGTCCAGGTGCTGCTGTGTCATAAAACATTCTTATTTCTAGTAAAGGCAGCCCCTGTTTACGAGGCAGTTAGTTTTGAAGCCACCGTGTGCATCAGTGAAATCGTGTATACAGTGGTACCTTGGTTCTCAAACTTGATCTGGTCTGGAAGTCTGTTCCAAAACCAAAGTGTTCCAAAACCAAGGCGTGCTTTCCCATAGAAAGTAATGCAAAACGGATTAATCCATTCCAGACTTTAAAAAACAACCCCTAAAACAGCAATTTAACATGAATTTTACTCTCTAACAAGACCGTTGATCCATAAAATGAAAGCAATAATCAACGTACTGTACTATAAAATAAAAATTTAAATTATTATTTTTCTTACCTGCACTGATGATAGTCATTGTTTGGATGGGGGACTTTTATCCATTTCCGCAGTCACACAATCAATCAATCAATCAATCAATCGGTAGCTGAACTGGTTTCTACACAGTCACAAAAACAAATTAACCAAAAAGGCCTCAAAAACGAAAACCCAAAATAAATAGCAAAAACAAAAGCACCAAGCATCAAACTTAATCCATTCCGGACGTCCATTTGACTTCTGAAATGTGTGAAAACCAAGGCACAGCTGATTGGTGCAGGCACCCTGGAAACAATAGCCGACAGCCACATTGGACATTCGGCTTCTGAAAAACATTCGAAAACTAGAACACTTACTTCCAGGTTTTCAGCATTTGGGAACCAAGGCGTTTGAGAACCAAGGTGACACTGTAATTGAAACCCATTGAAAAAGCCTGCGAACCCCCCATTCTGCCTCTGCCCTGCCCCCCTTTCCACTCGTTTAATAGTGTTTCAGAGATGTCGTTATGATGTTTCTGGGTTACTTCAAGGTTCGGCACAATGCGTGTAAACATTGTCACACTCATATTGAACGCACATAAATGGGGCTGCTTATAAAAGGGGTGTGTGTGTGTTTTCAAACTGATTGAAAAATGTTCCAATGGAAAATTTTAAACTTACACCATTTTATTTTTATCCAGTGGATGTTCCTTCAACTGGTGCCTTCTTGGAATGGATCTCTAAAGGACCTTTTAAATGAAGCAGATGTTTGGTTTTCCAAGCGTAAAAAAGGTATTTGTGCAGCTCTAGAGTTTGTGAATGACTGTGCATGTTGGAAATCTAAAATCTTCTCTTTGTGCAAGATGTACCTTGAAGATGTTAATACGCAATTGGCCTATTTAATGTTGGCTGGAAAGCATTTATCCTTTATTTAGCTTCATAATCCATAGTTTATGTGTGATCCTGAGCGCTTAAAAAAAAGCAGGATCTAGTTGTATTAAAACAGGCGAAATTAAAGTGAGTGAATGAAAATAAAATTGTTCCAATTTAAAGGAAAATCTGATATTTTTCAGCTTTGCCTGCAGAATGCATTTCCCACTTTCTGTTACTGTACAATTGACCATAAATCGTTTGGGTGGAATCCAGTGAAGTCATTGTTAGCAGAATGACTTCTGTGAGTGCAACAGCACTTCTCTTGATGTGTGCTGCCACAGCCCCCGAAATTGGCTACAGAGGGTTGAGTGATCCCCCAGAGCAGATTTGGGAGGAGGGGCAGGGCCAGTTCAACTGCACAAGCTTAACGAAAAAGTTTTTGAACTCATAACGGCTTGCTTATTATCACATTGCAGATTTTGGGGATGGCATCTCATTCTTGGAATCAGAACCAGGAAGTGCATTTTTGGCAGTTTTCAGACACTTACGGCTGCAGTACATAGTCAGCGATCTGGCATCAGCAAAAATTGTTGAGCGAGATGGTCTGATACCTGCAGGTAAGATTGGAGCAGCTCTCTTTCCCCCTTGGCCGCAGTCAAGGTGGGTTCAGGACTGAATATGTGGGCATGCTGAGGGGGTTCAGATCCAATTTACTAATGTGAAAGTGGTGTGGATCAAGCGGTGTGGATCAAGTGGGGTTTGGGTGCAAAGGATTCCTACAGTTTAATGCAGGATTGCAGGATCTCTGAGGGAAGGATTAGGAATACCATTTCCCTGTCCCCTCAAAATGCAGGGACTGGTGAAAATGCTTCCGTAGCTATAGTGCTGTCCTGGGCTCAGGTTCCATATGTGGTGAATGTCATAAGTGAAAGGCTTATTTGGTTGCAGTATGTTCTAGGCTTGTGTTTTCTGCATGTCTTGGGAATGCCGCCATACGATTGTCGCCATAGAGTTTATTCTAGTTTAGTAAACAAGAAAGTTTTGGCACTCTCTGGAAGTTGTTGGGAGGAACTGGGGTTTTGTGTCAACATGACACGGTGGAAGATTTTACAGAAAAATGCAGAACTAAACTGAGTGAGATTTAATGGTAGAAAGGTAAGCTGAAGGGGCATGAGAATGAGGTGAACTGGCAAATGTTGAGATGAGAGGAAATTAGTGATTTGGAACTGAGGCCTGTTTAACTTGGACTGAAGTGGCAAAAAGGATGGATGAATTAAATACTCTGAGCACCAAATTTTATAGAAACCATTCCAGGTAAGGTCTTAGCTGAAACTGGATTACCTAGGTGCAAATTAATGACTGACCATTTTTCATTTTAACCATAGTAGTGTGTGTGTTTGTGTGCATGTTCTTTCAAACAGTGGAACCCCCCCTTCTTTTTCTTCACTTCTATCACACTAGCTGAATTGTTTAGTGTAGAGTGGTGGGATCCTATAGTTTAGCAACATGCATAGATTTGTCTAAGTTATAAGACTTTTTAAAGTGCTGCTTAACTTATATTCCCCACCTGTAAAAGATCCACTTTGATTTTTTTAAATTTTAGAATGGCTGTCCTCTGTTTACAAACAGCAGTGGTTTGCCATGCTCAGAGCAGAACAAGACAATGACATTGGGTATGTATAGCACACCCCTTTTCCTATAAGTTTGTTAGTGCACCCCCTTCTCCGGTACAGGCATCTCAGAATGTGGCTCTCATAATGAAAGAGAAAAACATAGTGTGGCTAATTTAACATTTTAAATTTAAGAGTTCCAGTCTTTTGGGGGTGGCTATCTGCAGCAGCCCAGAAATTTTGGCTTTCTGTGTTCAACAGATGCTTGGTGTTGCCATCATTCCCAGAGTCATCTGATCATGCCTATGGAAGTGTTGGAAAAGAGGGAAGTGGCTTTTTTCATTCTCCAAATCCTAGTGCAAAGGATGAAAGGACCCTGCCCATCTCCCTGAGGCTTCTGTATATCCTAGTAATAATAATAATAATAATAATTTATTATTTATACCCCGCCCATCTGGCTGGGCCTCCCCAGCCACTCTGGGCGGCTTCCATAGAACCCAAAAATACAGTAAAATATCACACGTTAAAAACTTCCCTGAACAGGGCTGCCTTAAGATGTCTTCTGAATGTCAGGTAGTTGTTTATCGCTTTGACATCTGCTGGAAGGGCGTTCCACAGGGCGGGCGCCACTACCGAGAAGGCCCTCTGCCTGGTTCCCTGTAGCTTTGCTTCTCGCAATGAGGGAACCGCCAGAAGGCCCTCGGCGCTGGACCTCAGCATCCGGGAAGAACGATGGGGGTGGAGACGCTCCTTCAGGTATACTGGACCGAGGCAGTTTAGGGCTTTAAAGGTCAGCACCAACACTGTGAATTGTGCTCGGAAACGTACTGGGAGCCAATGTAGGTCTTTCAAGACCGGTGTTATATGGTCTCGGCGGCCGCCCCCAGTCACCAGTCTAGCTGTATATCCTAGAGATTTAGGGAACAAGCTTAGGCTTGGTTTCCAGTAGCCCAGGGCCTTTTCAGCATTGCTTGCACTGTGTGTTCCTTCTGCAAAGCCAAAACAGCGAAAATTCAATGCTTCTGCAATTTGCAGAGTACTTGAGAGAAATTCTGTTGCTATTTGCACCTTAATGAGTGGATTTCTGGCGGCCTGGTTCTGTGACTTTTATTTTTAGTGCAGTTGAAGTTTACAGTGGTACCCCGCAAGACGAACGCCTCGCAAGACGGAAAACCCGCTAGACGAAAGGGTTTTCCGTTTTGGAGGCGCTTCGCAAAACGAATTTCCCTATGGGCTTGCTTCGCAAGACGACAGCCCATAGGGAAATCTCCGGGACAGCGGGGAAGCGCAGCGCGTCTTCCCCACTGTCCTCGGACCTCCTCCCGCCGCCGGACATCGGAACGAAGCTCCGATGTCCGGCGGGGGGGGGAACGTCTCCTCCCTCCAACGGACATCGGAACGAAGCTCCGATGTCCGGCGGGGGGGGGAACGTCTCCTCCCTCCAACGGACATCGGAACGAAGCTCCGATGTCCGGCGGGGGGGGGGAACGTCTCCTCCCTCCAACGGACATCGGAACGAAGCTCCGATGTCCGGCGGGGGGGGAACGTCTCCTCCCTCCAACGGACATCGGAACGAAGCTCCGATGTCCGGCGGGGGGGGGAACGTCTCCTCCCTCCAACGGACATCGGAACGAAGCTCCGATGTCCGGCGGGGGGGGGGGGAACGTCTCCTCCCTCCAACGGACATCGGAACGAAGCTCCGATGTCCGGCGGGGGGGGGGGACGTCTCCTCCCTCCAACGGACAAACGAAGCTCCGATGTCCGGCGGGGGGGGGGAACGTCTCCTCCCTCCAACGGACAAACGAAGCTCCGATGTCCGGCGGGGGGGGGGAACGTCTCCTCCCTCCAACGGACATCGGAACGAAGCTCCGATGTCCGGCGGGGGGGGGGGAACGTCTCCTCCCTCCAACGGACATCGGAACGAAGCTCCGATGTCCGGCGGGGGGGGAACGTCTCCTCCCTCCAACGGACATCGGAACGAAGCTCCGATGTCCGGCGGGGGGGGGAACGTCTCCTCCCTCCAACGGACATCGGAACGAAGCTCCGATGTCCGGCGGGGGGGGGGGAACGTCTCCTCCCTCCAACGGACATCGGAACGAAGCTCCGATGTCCGGCGGGGGGGGGGGACGTCTCCTCCCTCCAACGGACAAACGAAGCTCCGATGTCCGGCGGGGGGGGGGGGAACGTCTCCTCCCTCCAACGGACATCGGAACGAAGCTCCGATGTCCGGCGGGGGGGGGAACGTCTCCTCCCTCCAACGGACATCGGAACGAAGCTCCGATGTCCGGCGGGGGGGGGGAACGTCTCCTCCCTCCAACGGACATCGGAACGAAGCTCCGATGTCCGGCGGGGGGGGGGAACGTCTCCTCCCTCCAACGGACATCGGAACGAAGCTCCGATGTCCGGCGGGGGGGGGGAACGTCTCCTCCCTCCAACGGACATCGGAACGAAGCTCCGATGTCCGGCGGGGGGGGGGGGAACGTCTCCTCCCTCCAACGGACATCGGAACGAAGCTCCGATGTCCGGCGGGGGGGGGGAACGTCTCCTCCCTCCAACGGACATCGGAACGAAGCTCCGATGTCCGGCGGGGGGGGGGAACGTCTCCTCCCTCCAACGGACATCGGAACGAAGCTCCGATGTCCGGCGGGGGGGGGGAACGTCTCCTCCCTCCAACGGACATCGGAACGAAGCTCCGATGTCCGGCGGGGGGGGGGGAACGTCTCCTCCCTCCAACGGACATCGGAACGAAGCTCCAATGCCGGGCGGGGGGGGGGAACGTCTCCTCCCTCCAACGGACATCGGAACGAAGCTCCAATGCCGGGCGGGGGGGAACGCCTCCTCCCGCAGCCCGGCATCGGATGGCTGTCCTGAAGACTTGGGGTGGGAGGAGGGTTTTCCTTCCCACCGCCAACATTCAGAATGCTGTTCTGAATGTTGGCGGTGGGGAGGAAAAACCCTCCTCCCACGCAAGCCCCGGGAACAGAGGAGAAGCGCTGCGCGCCTTCCCCTCTGTTCCCGTACCTGTCCTGAAGGCTTGCGGTGCGGAGAAAAGCCCTTCTCCGCACCGCCAGCCTGGCAAGCGGTTTCCCTAGGAACGCATTAATTGATTTTCAATGCATTCCTATGGGAAACCGTGCTTCGCAAGACGAAAAACTCGCAAGAAGAAAGAACTTGCGGAACGAATTAATTTCGTCTTGCGAGGCACCACTGTATTTAATAAAATTAACACATTAAGTTGGCTTTTACATTATGATATGAATGAAAGCATTTTCACACACTTTGTTGAAGATGTTACATAACTGGTCGTGATGTTAGGGGTTGGTTGTGCTTTTACGTTGTAGAGAGCAGCTTTCATAGTACATATGTAAACTTCATGAGCATCAAACGTTTGGCCACTCAAGTTGATCCTGTAATCAATGCTTTCTTTGGGAAAGAACTTGCATTTCTCAGTGTGCTTTAATATTGATGCTCATGAATTTGAAGCTTGCCCTTCACATATATAGCTTTGTTTTTGTTTTATTTTAAAAAAAAATATGGGGAAGATTTAAAAAAAAATCTTCCCCATAAAGAATTGCACTGATTCACACTCTTTGTAGGTGTTGCCCTTTTTAGCCATTTGCCTATTAGCTTAAACGAGGCAGTATACAGATTCCAAAATCAAATGCCCACAGTACCTTTGCAGTCCAGTCCTCTGTGCATATTCACCCAGAAATTAGTCTCTCTGAGTTCTAATGGCGTTTACTCTCTAACTGCTCTAGATTAACCAATGGCCTGATTATCTAGAATGGAGCTTCAGTCTATTGCAAAGATACTGAGGCACAGTGCATTGAAACAAGCAAATCATTAAACTGAATTGTTTCAGTTTGAGAGAAGCAGGATAAAGTTTTCTAAATACATGGTCAGAGAAGATAATATCCAGAATTCCAACTTTTCAGTAGTAACTTCTGCAATATGTCATTTACAGTTTTAAGTTATTTGCTTTCTACCTACGAAAGGTTTCCTGCCTAAGCTTTTATGCTGCCCAAGATGTGTGTGTGTGTGTGCGTGCGCGTGTGCGCGCATACATTTGTTTTATAGATTTTTGACTGTGATCTGAGCTGCACAGAATGCTAAGCCTTGGTTTTGGCTACGTGGATGAGCCTCCACAAACCTGAGGTTGCTCTTGGGCTTGTGTGTTCCTCCTGTTCCTCCTCACACAGCCAAAACGAGGACTTCTGCCAAGTGTAATTTAACTTTTAAAAGAGCCTCAGCTTAGCATTATGTATAAACCAGGTTCCTTGCGTAAAGCAAAGTTTAATTTAATCAGCCAGCTCTGTAACCTATTGTTTGAAGTTGGTTTATTATGAAACTTATCAGACAAGGATGGAGGGAATGCACAAGTAGGACATGTATATGTGTGGTTTGTGCGAATTGTGTGTGTGTTGCTTTTACTTCACCCACTGGCATGCAGTGCCCAGAAGGGAACCCAGCTGTCAGCTGGAATGCGTTGTATTCCGTGCTAGTCATAATTGTAGTAAAAAGGTAAAGGTACCCCTGCCCGTACGGGCCAGTCTTGCCAGACTCTAGGGTTGTGCGCCAATCTCACTCAAGAGGCCGGGGGCCAGCGCTGTCCGGAGACACTTCCGGGTCACGTGGCCAGCGTGACATCGCTACTCTAGCGAGCCAGAGCCGCACACGGAAACGCCGTTTACCTTCCCGCTTGTAAGCGGTCCCTATTTATCTACTTGCACTTTGAAGTGCTTTCGAACTGCTAGGTTGGCAGGCGCTGGGACCCAATGACGGGAGCGCACCCCGCCGCAGGGATTCAAACCGCCGACCTTTCGATCGGCAAGCCCTAGGCGCTGAGGCTTTAACCCACAGCGCCACCTGCGTCCCCATAATTGTAGTAGGCCAATTGAAATGAATAGGTGTGCCTAACTTGGGTCCATTTAATTTCATTGGGTCTGCTCCGAGTAGTGGTTAATTGGATACAACCCTCCACAGTCACTTACAGACTTACTGTTAAGACCGTGTTCATGGAAGACAATCTTACTCAGCTATGAGGGATCGCCAGAGAAGAAGAACAACGCTCTATGCTAAAACTTCTGAAAAGCTTTTGAAGAGTACTTCTCCAAAGACTGAATAAATTTAGCAGGCATGTGATAAAAGGGAGGGGGTCCTTTTATGGATCAATGACTTGTTACAGAGCAGGAACCAGAGGTTAGGAGTAAAGGGAGGGAAGTACGCTATGGGATCCCTCAAATAAGGGGGCGTATTTTGAGCTATTACCCCATCTGCTTAACTCTGGAGTTCTTTGTTGTTGCAACCTCCAGTGGTAAGGATGGAATTGTGACTCCTCAAAGCGCATGGCAGGCAGGGTAGCTGTAAGCGTTCTGATAACACAAGTGTTGGTCATCTGTCCTTCCTACTTTATTGGCCTTGACTGGCAGTTCTTCTGGTTGTACCAAGCACCATTTCACCAACGTTCTCCATTGCCAAGTTCCTGCTTGTGGAATTGTGCTTCTGCAGATTTGGGGTTAGTGATGTAGCTCCCTTGTTGCGATGGTTCTCACTCCTGTTCTTCCTGATCTTGACACACTCAAATTTTTAGTTTTTTGTTGTTGTAATGGTTGCATAACTCACCATTTTAATGGTAAGGCTCATTGTTGAGTCCAAATAGGTAGAATATAATATTGTAAAATGTGTAAATGTGAGAACTGTGTTTGTTTCTTGGGGTGCTTCTGCTCCTGGTGTGTGTGCTGTACTCATCTACTCGCTTTGTTGGACTCCCCTCCACTGGAACTAGGCCAGCCTGGAGGGTCATAAACATTCTGCATTGGTTAGCAGGGGTGTTTTTACTTAGTCTTACACTTGTGTAGGGACGCGGGTGGCGCTGTGGGTAAAAGCCTCAGCGCCTAGGGCTTGCCGATCGAAAGGTCGGCGGTTCGAATCCCCGCGGCGGGGTGCGCTCCCGTCGTTCGGTCCCAGCGCCTGCCAACCTAGCAGTTCGAAAGCACCCCCGGGTGCAAGTAGATAAATAGGGACCGCTTACAAGCGGGAAGGTAAACGGCGTTTCCGTGTGCGGCTCTGGCTCGCCAGAGCAGCGATGTCACGCTGGCCACGTGACCCGGAAGTGTCTCCGGACAGCGCTGGCCCACGGCCTATAGAGTGAGATGGGCGCACAACCCTAGAGTCTGGCAAGACTAGCCCGTACGGGCAGGGGTACCTTTACCTTTTTACACTTGTGTAATGTTATACAAATGAAAGGTTCAAAAGTGAGTTCTTAGCAAGATCAGACTAGGCTGAAAACCTTCTTACCACTGTCACCCAACTAGTTTTCTCCCTTGTACTGGCAGTATCCTGCAAGAAGCTGGTCTACTTGCATAATCTTTGGCCTCTACCAGAACAAGACGGCTCAGTAGCAATCTTATCCTGGTCTTTTGTATATAAACCCAAGGAATGGATCAGACTGATAATAATTTAATAATGGTTTTATTATTTATATGCCACCCATCTGACTCTGTTGCCTCAGCCACTTTGTGTGGCTCCCAACAAAATATTAAAAACATAAGAAAACATCAACCATTAAAAAGTAAGACAGTGCGCAGGCAAGTGGGGTCTCAACCAGCATGCCAGATGGAGCAAGACAGCTACCCTGGGCGCAGAATTAACCTGCACCTCCATGGACAGCTGAGTTCATAAAGACCCCAGGCTGCACACCTGGTCCCTTAGGGGAACAGTTACCCCATTCAGGACCAGGGAGCCCCCCCCCCGCTTGCCTCCAGTACCCCAGAAACAGTACTTCTGCCTTGTCAGGATTCAACCTCTATCCATTTACTACCATCCATTGTCCAACCGCCTCCAGACACACCAGATGTTCACCGCATTCATTGGTTCCACTTTAAATGAGAGGTAGAGCTGGGTATCATCCGCATACTGGTGAAAACCGAGCCCAAACCCCCTGATAATCTCTCCCAGCAGCTTCATATAGATGTTAAAAAGCATGGGGGAGAGAACAAAGCCTTGAGGTACCCCACAGGTGACCGCCCAGGGGTCCGAACACTCATTCCCCAACACTGCTTTGAAGGATGAGCAAGGAACTTTGATGCTAGCAGAAGGGAGTGTTTTCAACACATTTGCAGTTTGTCTTGGATGTTTATGTACCTGATTTCACAGGCTACTTTTCTTGCTCTTTCATCTGAAAAGATGACATTTTTTAAAAGGCTCTTTTGTATGTCCAAAGGCCTCAAGAAATTAATAAGGACGAGCTGGAAGCAAATAGCATGCGGTGTGGCAGGAAACTTGCAAAGGATGGCGACGTAAGCACAAGTGTTTTTCCATGCCCTTTCAAAGCGGGTAATTTATTAACAATTTTTGTGAGTGGTTTGCTGAAAATTGAGTTATAATGCAAATAGTGTTTTTATAAACAAATTCTTACGAGTCTTAAGTACCTTAATTGACATCTAGATATACAGGTGGTATGCCAACATGCCATCGCTATTGATAACAGCCACCGTAGAGCTTTTTAGCAATAAACCTATTGATAGATTGAGATCAAAATAGATCTGTGGCAAACTATTCAGGTGTAAAACTAAAGCATATGTTTAGTATGTAACTATATGTGGGGCAATGACCTCCTTTATTTCTTCAAGTATTGTTGGCGATGGACAGGTTTCAACTTTGGCTTTGATCTGCTGGTGACTTACACCAACCGCTACATCATCTTCAAGCGTAACACTTTGAATCAGCCGTGTAGTGGCTCAGTCAGCTTGCAGCCCCGGAGGAACATTGCTTTCAGGTGAAAATATACTGTGTTGCTGCAGTGAGGGGGTACTTTTCCCCTGATGCCACTGAGAAGTATTCTGCGTGTAGAGGACAGTGTTGCACATCCTAGCTGTTGGCAGGAGTTTAAAGAATCAACTTTTGAGAAATTGCCCTTTAGTGTGATTTATTAGAGTCCCCTTGCTGCCGCTCCTTGACTAGGGTTAGCCTCTCTCCATCCCAAAATATGGGTGCTAGGGAAGGGAGGGGGGAATATATCCATTTAGCGTCCTTTGGTAGCATGTATCCAAGCTGTCCCCACCCCACAGTTTTTTCAGAGAAAAGGCAGGAAAGATCAAGCGTGGAAAGAAAGATGAAGAGCATGACTTGGGAGCAATGGGTTAAGGCACCCTTTCTCCCCTCTGCCCAAATTCCTCCTGGGTTCCAGTTTGTGTATAGATAGTGGGGAATTTGCTAGGTGGTTTGTAGATACAATATTATGGCTCTTGCCAAGCCATACAAACAATTCCAGTCCGTAGAAGCCTGTGTTTAGGGGCAAAATGTATCCCAACATAATAACACTGGCACAACGTTTACCATTGTAAGGGTTGCCAGTGTCTGCTGGCAGCTTTAGAGATTCCTTCCTTCCTTCCTTCCTTCCTTCCTTCCTTCCTTCCTTCCTTCCTTCCTTCCTCATATCGCCCTATATACTGGAAGAGACTGTATAGCTTCTGTCAACTGTAATGCTGACTATAAAAGACTATAAAAGATGGCATTTTTTCTCTACCTGCCATTCCTAAGGCCCCACCCCCACCAAACAAAACCCATACAAACAGTTCTTCTGATTCCCCCCTCTCCCAAATCGGTTCCAGCTTGCTTAGTGTAACTTTTTATCTGCCCTTAGGTTGCGTCTGGCTTCTTTTGATAGCAGTGGGAAGCTTATTTGTAGCAGAACAGCAGGATATCAGATATTAACCCTTGAAAAAGACCAGGTATGTGTTTTCAGCACCTTGGCTCATTTCAGATGCTACTGCAAGGAGACACTGGCTCTTCTTCCCTTGAAAAGTGTTTCCAGGGAACAACAGCAGGAAAAAGAACAGAGAATAGGACAGAATGAATTCTCTGAATTATAAGGGGAAAATATTGTGTCCTTTGTTACAAAAAATACAGTTTTACTTTTGCTTTTCAGGAACAGGTAGTGATGAATTTGGGCAGCCAACTGCTGGTTTTCCCTCTGTATATTTGCTGCAACTTCCTGTATACGTCCCCAGAGAAAAAGACAGAGACTGATGGACAGCTGGATAACCTAGAAAGCTGAGTCTTGTTCTCATGGCTTTTTTATTTCAAGTGCCCTTGCTGCACAGAGAGAAAAAGTAATAAAATGGCCTTACACACTGTAGCAGAAGAAATGCAGCTTCCACCCCTTATCTGTACATTCCTATGCATATCTGAAAGGTTTCCAACACAATTTGGCATTTTCCCTGTGGCTCTTAAGAGAGCCCAAGGGAAGGCTACACTTGAGAATCATTACCAGTTTCTTGCCAGTTTCAGACAAGATAAAAATGCAGCTAACTAAACTGGACATGTGAAGAGCACATCCGTAAAATCCATGATAATTACATGTGGGCTAACATGTAGGGTAATGCCTCTAGGTTTTGTTCTTCAGGCTGAACTTGCAAATGCTAAGGGTCAGTTATAGCCTTGATAAAACTCCACTGCCTTCAGTGGTTGTGCACCAGGGTTCACCGTTACCCCTTTATTTGTGCAATTTTTTTAAAAAGGAATTCATTTAGCATTTGGGACTTGTAAATATTTCCTAATGAGGAATATAATATATATTTACATGTATATCCAGTTTTGTTTTCAAGATTATATTTTTTCAACATTGGATGTATTTTTAAAGTTCATTTTGTGGATTACATAGAGGTAGAGGTGGGTCCGGTACATGGGTTTATTGAACTAAAGTCCAGGCACAGGTTTCTCTGCAGACTGTCATGCCAGTATTGAGGGAATGCTTTCTTGCATGTTTAAACTCAAGACCATCCCCCAGTGCTGAGGATTGGACACATCTCTGCTTGTGGGGTAGCAAAGTCCAGACCCAAGGGCTCCTGCCTTTAAGAACTGTAAATGGTTTTGAACAGCTTTGTTCTTTGAAGAGCCATTTTTATGAAATTCTGAACCTTACACAGCTCTTAAAGGGCGCAGGAGGCTTCTTGGGATCCGGCCTTCCAGCTCACTTGGGAAGGCTGTGGGGGTTGGAGCAGAACCTGGTGTGCCGTAGTTAAAATGCATATGTATTCAAAGTGCTTGGCTTATGAAGAACTCTGCATGGTTTACTTTCCACACACAGGTTTACACTAGCATTCTGTTGGAGCTGTTGGGGTACCATGTACAGATTTTTTTAAAAGTGATTTTAGTTTCATTACACAAATATTGGGAGTTTACATCCTAGTTATGCTCAGGAACTTTAGTGTGTTTGAACCCTTTTTTTTTTAAGCTACATTGCAGAATCCAAATTAGGAACTGAGGTCAAAGCATTCATATTTTGGTTGGTGTTTACTTTTTTGTTTACTTTTTTTAAAAAAGTGATCTATTAAAGGTGAGATGTACGCGGATTTAGTCTGTACGTATTGGAGGGAAGGGGTTGCTGTGGAATTTATGTCTTTCAGTTTTTGTCTGTAGCCAAATTTTGTCATACCCTTTGTATGCTATAATATATTAGCAAACTGTGAATAAACCATTCACAATTTATATTGCCTGGTACTGGTTTCTCTTTAGGGGTCTGCGTTGGGGGTCTGGGTCTGAGTCTTAAAAATAAGCAGAATGCCTTGTAAACATGATTTAACTGTGCTGCATGAAGAAGCGTTTCCTGTTGGTGGTCCTCAGTTTTCCAACATTCAGCTTCCACCCCACTAAGTGAGAGAAGATGATAAAGGTCTTCCTAGTGTCTGCGGACAGCGCTGGCCCCCAGCCTCTTGAGTGAGATGGGCGCACAACCCTAGAGTCTGTCAAGACTGGCCCGTACGGGCAGGGGTACCTTTAAATCTGCTTTCACCACACTATATTTTTCGCTCCATAAGACACACCTAGTTTTTAGAGGAGGAAAGGGGGAAAGCCCCGTTTTTTTGAGGATCAACTCAGTTGTTGAGCTTACTTTGCAAAGGGGAAAAATCCTGTTTTTAAGAGGTTCAACTCAGTTCTGTAGCTGCTTTAAGAAAGGAGAGACGTTTCTACAGTTTCCAGACAGATAATCTAATCAGCCAGTCACATGTTGCTGGGGAAACAAACAGCCTCCATCCACAGAACTTTCAAAAATACAGTGGTACCTCGCAAGACGAAATTAATTCGTTCCGCGAGTTTTTTCTTCTTGCGAGTTTTTTGTCTTGCGAAGCACGGTTTCCCATAGGAATGCATTGAAAATCAATCAATGCGTTCCTATGGAAACCGCCTTCAGACCAGGTCCGGGGACAGTCTGTCCCCCGACCTCTTCTGAAGGCTGGGGGGGGGGGACAAGGGCTTTTCTTCCCACCGCCAGCCTTCAGAAGGCTGTTCTGAAGGCTGGCGGTGGGAAGAAAAGCCCTTCTCCCCACCTCCCGCCCCGCAAGCTCCGGGGACAGGAGGGCTTTGCTGCTAACCGCCAGCACTTTAAAAGCCCCCGGGACAGCGGAGACGTCTGCGGGGGGCGTGGCAGGGCGGGGGGCCGTTGGCAGTTGCTTCGAGATCTCGGCTGTTGCCCCCGAGCCCGGGACCCCGCGAAACAGAGCCAGAGCCTCTTCGTCGCTCCCTCCTCGCGTCCTTGAGATGAAGACAGGGCTGGTCGGGGGGAGACTTATATTGGCAGTGGCGTAGCGTGGGTTGTCAGCACCTGGGGCAAGGCAAGTAATTTGCGCCCCCTAACCCGTGGATTTTAGCACTCGAGTGCGAGCGCGCCCCCCCAGATGTTGCGGCAGGTGCGGCTGGCCCCCCCCTGCACCCCCCCATGCTACGCCACTGGGGCTGGGGGCGAGCGAAGGAGCCAAGGACCCCCCCCAAAGGCTCAGCAGGAATTTATTAAATTTATTATTTGCGGAGCCCCCGCGGGCCGAGGCAGCCGAAGCCCCCTCCCCTCAGGCGCCTCCCCGCCCCCTCCTCTCGTGGGTTGTAGGTGGAACCCGTGCTCCGAGGCGCTCCAGATCCGGGCTTGGTGAGGGCCTCTCCTCCTCCCGGCCGGGTCCGGGGGCTTCCAGCTGCGCTCCGTCCTCGCCCCCCCCCCCCCCCGCGGCTGAGACTTGCGCTGAGAGCTGGAGCCAGCGGCGCCCCTTCCGCCGGGAGACCCTCGCCCACCTGCCGGCTTCCTCTCAGAGGGTTTTGGGGAGAGCAGGGCGCGTCGAGGCCCCTCGGAGCTCTCCTCCCTTCCAGTCGGCAGAAGCAGCCGCCACCTGTGGCTTGGCCGAGGGGATGGCGTCGGCATCGGGGTGCGGAGGCTGCCCGTGCCCGGCGTCGGTGGCAGCGGCGGTGCTGCTGCAGCGGCTGCTCCTCCTGCGATCAGTGAGTGGAGCGCAGCCGCGGCGGCGGGGGGCGCGCACGCGCTAGGGCGCAAGGCTGGCGGCGGCGGCGGGGAGCCCGGCGGAGGAAGGAACTTGTCCCTTCCCTCTGGACTCGCGCCCCCCCCAGATGTTGCGCCCGGTGCGGCTGGCACCCCTGGCAACCCCCACGCTACGCCACTGTATATTGCATGGCCCTTGGGGGGTTCTATGTATGATATTGTGTGTCTCCATAGCCTCTCCCTTTCACCCAGGGACCCCCGAGCCCGGGACCCTGCGAAAGAGACCCAGAGCCTCTTTCGGCCCCAGAATGAGGTGTCCCACTCGCAACAGGAAAGACTGCCGGTCCCTGCCAACAAATGGTCCTACTTCTGTATGGAGCTAGAAAGGGAGGCTCCGACCTCCAGGCTCCCAGAGGCAAAGTTAGGAGGTTCTGGGAGGCTTCACATTGCACTTCTACAGAAGAAGGCCACCCTGCACTAGTTAGCTCGGTTGGTTAGAGCGTGGTGCTGATAATGCCAAGGTTGCAGGTTCGATCTTCGTAATGGCCACCTGCATTTCAGGGGGTTGGACTAGAGGACCGTTAGGATTCCTTCTAATTCTGCAGGTCTGTGATTCTAACATCTCTAGGGGGGGGGCACACATCTTGCATCCCCAGCTAAAAAGAGCTAGATGAGCAGTTTACAATTAACTCCATGTGGTCATATTCCGGGTGCACATAACTGTTGCTGCACCACCTTCCCCCAAAGGGTCTTTAGCAGTGAGTGACTGCTGACCTGCATTTACTACTGACGCTGTGCCTTGGATTTCAACCTCTTTATTTGGCTAAGTGCTGGTGCAGTGGTTGATCAGCTTGCACTCTCTTTGTGTTGTGCTAATTGTTGCCACCCACCCACTCCTTGGGTCCTGGCTGGGCCCTTCAAATCCAGAGAGAAGCTGGGGTTATGCCAAAGCAGCCAGCCCACATTGATAGGTAGTAAATTACATACAATAGGATGTTCCAGCCCTGAATGACAGAAGTGTGGAAACTTGCTCCCCAACAGACTCCAAATTGGACATTTTTGGTGGTGGGAAGAGTGACAGGGAAACTAGAATGGAAAAGGGGAGCTAGCATTTGCTTGATGCGACATTGTCTCATCTCCCTGCGAGCGAAACGGAACGAGCGCTCAATCGCTGACCTCAGTCAACAACCCAACAAACTTTTGCAAATGGAGCAGGACGAAGGTTCAGGAAGCAGGTCATCGGGAAGGGGCCACAGAACTGCCGCATCCGCTCAGTTCCTCGGACCGGCAATGGCAGCCCCAAACGGTGGCTGCACCATGTCATCTTTGCATGCTTCCAACGGCACCAACTGGTGTCTATCATATTGGGATAAACTTTCAGGGGAGGGGTCTTTCTGGGGTGGCTGAGGGTCATTTCCAGCCGTCATCAGGGACCTCCTAATGAAAGAGCTCCCCACAGCTCCTAGTGCGGCAAGGGAGGTGCCAGGAATAGGTGGGGCAGTGACAAGCTGTAGGGAGACCAAAAGTACCTCCCCATACTTAGGTCAGGTGGGTCCTCTTCGCCTGGGGCTCTTCTTCGATAATATCCTGTTGTGGGGAAGCACACAGCATGTCAGAACTGGAGACACCATCGCTGCCTACCACCACACCAAGCCCTGAATTGTGCTCTCTCTCCAGCCCAGCCCACTTGACACCTTCTTTGCAACTGGCAAGTGGGTCCTCCTAGGGGAGAAGAGTGGGCACTGAAGAGGAAAGAGAAAGAAGGGGGGAGGAAATGATCAGCACCCAGCAGTCCATAAACCTGGTGAGGAAATGTGCACTGTGTCTGGCCAAGAGGTACAATTTCAGGGTATGGCAAGGGAGGTACCATGAATAGGTGGGGCAGTGACAAGCTGTAGGGAGACTAGAAGTACCTCCCCATACTTACGTCATGCGGATTATGGTTTCCGTCGCTTGGTGTAAGACTGAGAACGATGCCAGCGGGTCCTCTTCAATAACTTCCTGTTGTGGGGAAGCACACAGCATGTCAGAACTGGAGACACCATCGGTGCTACCACCACACCAAGCCCTGAATTGTGCTCTCTCTCCAGCCCAGCCCACTTGACAACTATGGGAGAAGAGTGGGCCTCCTGGATCTGGGAATAAGATCCATCTTTCACCTGCACAGAGCTCTCCCTCTCCCTCTCCCTGCCTGTGGCTTCCAGCAACTGATCTTCAGAAACACTGCTGCCTTCCGCTGTGGAGGTAGAACAGGGTCCTGAGGCACCCTGGACCTAAGATGCTCAGGGCTTTGTAAAAAAAATTATTTACTTACTATGAGGCAGGTCCTCGGCTCTACTTTATGGGGGAAGATGACATCTTCCCCCTGAAGCGCTTTATTAGAATTGTCGCTTTCATCAGACTTTTCTTCATAGCCTCATTCTAAAAGGGATTTTTTTTAATTGAGGCACCCAATCATAGAGCAGAGAGGCAGGTAATTTCACTCTCACAAATAATAATTTTCCATGATCAACATTTGTTGTTTGGAATCCATTATTATTGGAAACTGAACTTGGTTATCACTGGTTCCTCATTCATATAAAAGGGGGGTTTTTTGGGAGGGTGTTGTATGTTCACTAGGCATTAGGACACCTTTTTAGCTATTGTCAGCAAATTTTTCATGGTAGTTTCTGAGACCAAGGAGCAGTTTTTGTCCATGCATGGATGCAATGGGATGCCATTTGGAATCAGGACTCATAAATACACTGACTTAAACCACTGATTTTTAAAAACTGCACTGTTTTTTCCAGTGTCTTAGAATTCTCAAGCGACACTAGGTACTAGCATAGTTTAACATACAGTGATGCCTCAGTTTTCAAACAGCTTAGTTCACGAACTACTTGAAATTTGAATGCTGCAAACCCAGAAGTAGGTGTTCCGGTTTGCAAACTTTTTTCGGAATCTGAACTGTTTGTTTTGAGTGTTACACTTCCTTTTTCCGTGCCACACTTCCGTTTTGAGTGCCCCCACTCCTCCTTGCACGGAGTAGGAGCTGGATGGGGCTGCTCTCCTGGTGAGTAGCAGGCTCCGTCAGACTTTTCCATTGAGGGGTGCGTGGCTGCTTTCAGCTCAACAGAGAAGTTGAAAGGAGCATCGGTGGCCATGCGGAGACAGCCCGACAGCTGCCTCAGCAGCAGTTTAGGGGCTCTCAGACGCAGTTGCCTCCACCTTTGCCACCCCAGCAACTATTCTGCTTGGCTGCCTTCAGGTGGTGACATGGGGGCTCCTTTGGGGGGAGAGGTTTAAAGGAGCCCCCAGCCGTGAACCCCTCAATGGAAAGTGTGACAGAGCCTGCACCTCCCCAGCTGAGCAGCCCCTCCAGCTCCTACTCGCGTGCAGGAACGAGAAACAAAAGATTTTCTCCTGACCAGCCAGAACATGGGAAGTCTTTTTAAATAATATAATTTGGAATGTATAATTGGTTTTATTATTTGTATTATGATGTTGCAAGATTTGATATGTTATTAATTGGAGTGTTATTAAAAAAGAATGATGCTATATAAAATGACAAATCTGGATAACAATACATGTTATCCCCAACTGACTCCAGCTTCTAGGCCTCAGGAGAACTGGTGCATGTTGAGCTTAAACTAGGAAAACAATGAATGGTGCATAACTGAAGTAGGCAGTGGGCTTGGCTGAGGAGCAGGGAGCTAGAAAAGCAGGTGCAAGGCTTATTAGCGCTGCTTCCGGATGCTAGACAGCCAACATACAGCCCACTTTGTTAATCCTTCAATCGATTGCAGCAGCACATCTTCCAGCCTTTTACCATAGCTCAGAGGGCAGAAAGCTGAGACTATCTAGAGTGCACCTGCAAAGCCCGTACTAGGCAGCTGGATTAGGGGCAGTGCAAGTCACAGCCACACACAGCAGCAGTAATGAGGCTTCTGCTGTTGCCCCAATTTGTGTTCAGCAGTGAACCAAAGACAGGTTTGGCTGAAGTGGATGGCCATAGGAAACGACCCTCCTGCCGTCTTGTAAGCTTACATTCAGCGCTGTAACTGTCGTCTCTATCCCTGACCTTCTTGCCAGCTAGGTCAGGAGGATACAGAACAATTCACTCCTCCTCAGGAATCTAGGTTGCAACAATGGCATTGGGATAATTAGTAAGCAAAAGGGCACCCGGAGCAGGTTTTGAAATCCTGAAACCTCTGCTTTAAGATTCTGGTGCCCGGTTCCTTCAACCAACTGGGAATCCTGTAGAACTGAAAATGCAAACTAGACAGAGCAATGGCACTTCCAGGATGAGTCAGGCAACCTCAGGTCAGATCACCTGCACACTCACAGATTCAGCAGCACTAACTTGTGACTATCTTTCTAATTAACTTCCCCCTGTTTACTCTGGGCCCTTATTTAGAACGCTTATTTTAGAAAGTTAGAATATTGCTTTTATATGTGCCTAGAATTGTGAGTGTGTGCTGCTGCACTTTGTTGTTGTTAAAACTACCTTTATAATAAATCCCTTATTTTTTATATTATTTCCATGTGGACCCACCTTTGTCGTTTGGGAGGGTTCAGATACACACACTCCGTGTGACTCCCGCTAAAGATCCTTTGGGAGGGAGTGTGTTCTCAGGACCACATGGGTGCTGGTTTCACAGTGTCTCCAAACACACATGTCTATCAGGCCCCATGTTAGCATGTCACAGTCCAAAGCAAGAACTTGTAGGTGCTTGGGGGGAAGCAGCAAAGTGAGATAGGGCACAATTTTCCAGGCCATCCCTGACGCAAGGGGGACAAATTTTGTAGGAAACCCTTTGAAAGCCTTCCTTCAACAGCAGCAGTCTCTAGCAACAGAGAGAGGTAGACAACTGCTCCATGTCCTGAGAGCCAGTGTGGTGCAGTGGTTAAGAGTGGTAGACTCGTAATCTGGTGAACCAGGTTCGCTTCCCCGCTCCTCCACATGCAGCTGCTGGGTGACCTTGGGCTAGTCATACTTCTCTGAAGTCTCTCAGTCCAACTCACCTCACAGTGTTTGTTGTGGGGGAGGAAGGGAAAGGAGAATGTTAGCTGCTTTGAGAATCCTTCGGGAAGTGATAAAGTGGGATATCAAATCCAAACTCCTCTTCTTAAAAAAACAAAAAAACAAACAAAAAACTGCTCCATGTCCTACTTGATCATACCTGTGCCAGCAAGGAGTGGTAATACGCTTTTAATAAACATGAATGCTTCAATTTCATAACAGTAATTGGAAAGAGAGTCTCATCCTAAACCCGATGCATTATCAGACAGTTTATCCTCACCTTTCAAGCTCCTTAATTAAGTTTGCTATGCGCCTCTTGTCTTCAGGACATAAATCCTTCAGAGAAGCACTCTTCATTCCTCCTTTGCCATGGACCTGAAAATTAAAACCAGCTTTTAAAAAAGCAATCATGCCCTTCCTGAGTGGCGGAGGGGGCATGAACAGGCAGCTGCAAGGGATTTGTTAAAAGGAGGCATGTCTTCCTGCCATAGCTGTCAACTTTCAGATTTGAAAATAAGGGATCAGCAGCCTCGAAAATAAGGGATCAGCAGCCTCTCCTGTCCCGGGAACAGTCTAAGGGATATCTAACAATCCGGGATAGCAGCGGGAAGCAGCGGGAAACGGTGCTGAAATAAGGGAATTTCCCGGGGGGAAAGGGAAGGTTGACAGCTATGCTTCCTGCTCCTCCTATTTGAGGCTGAAAGGCAGCTCATCTGTCACAACACTATACACAGCTGCAAGACTCCCTAAAAGAAGCTTTTAATCCTTAGGCACTGTGACAGAAACTGGTCTTGCTTGCCCCATTCTGGCCCCAGGCTTGCAAGTATTAATCTAGCCTGTTACCAATACTAAAGAAGATTTTTAGACGCCTGGACAAGGAGGATTTTTCAAGGCCTACACAATTACTTTATCTTTGCCCCTTGAATGCCACAATGATGGTACAAAAAAAGAAAGAAAGAAAGGCTTCTAAGCCAGATACAAACAGCCACTTTTCAGCTGTGGGAGAATAAGAAGAGAGCAAGGGAGGCAGGAAAAGTCTGCATTAACTGACTGCTCGCTGCCACCATCCTAGACCACGTTTACATTATACCTAATTTGTTTGTTTCAGTATTTTAACAACAGTAACAACAGTCAGACTATAAAAGCAGGCCAACAAAACTCTTGCCTCACCTTCTCTGATACCTCTAAGTAAGGAAGAGCCAATTGGGAGTTGGCTAGGCAGGCAAATGAAACTCAAAAGCCCGGATCTAATTTGTCAGGAAGTCAGTGCGTACAATGACATTATTCACAGTTTGATCTCATATAATCCCAGGGTAGAGAAACTGCCTGAGTGTGCATGTACACTACCTTGGGCTCCATGATGAAGGAGAAGGCTAACTGTAAGCAAATAAACATGCAAATATGAGCAGCTAGAGATCAAATGTTCCTAAATGGAAGCTTTAAGCCATTTCTCTAGCTCTATAAGGAGTACCTAAGGCTGCCTGCCAACCTGTGAAAATGAGATGATGGTGCCTAAAAACACACCAAGATTTTTCCAGCCCTCCTAAAGGACCTGAAAAGGTTGTATCCCTAAGTTATCATTTGAACTCTTTTACTTCTAGCCCTCTCCCCAAAGATACAAACAGACCCCCAATCTCATTTTAACCTGTTGCTCCAAAGTCGCTGAGACAAGGGTGCATGTGCACAGAGTGAATCCGAATCAGGTCCTGGCCCAATTCACTACCCAACAATTCAAGCTAAATTTGGCAACCATTCAAAGATCATACCTGGGACATAGACAGGTGGCTGCTCTTCATCAGAAACTGAATGCAATTTCATTCAAGGAAAGCAAGGGCAAAAGGTTTGTTCCCATTCTACATTTTACAGTCTGGAAATATTATCTCCATGACTGAGCTAGTCTGAAAATTCTTCTGCATCAAAATTGAAGTTCAGACACAGCCCAACACTGACTGGGAGACTACAGACATTTCTGTAAATCCACTTTGTTATTACTCTTAAAAAGACCTGAATGAAAAGTTGTCTTTTATTAAAGACCCTGTAACTAGCTCAATCACGGAGATAATGAGCCACATTTATTTGTATTAGCCTTGATTATAAAAGCAACTCCTGGAGGCTATACACTCAATGAATGCTCCTCAGACTCTTATTATGGACACAGACTAAGCTTTAAAGTCACACATTTTTGAAAAAGCTATCTGGGGTTCTTACAAGCAGGTACTGGTATTTGGGGGATCAGGAGAGAAATCTGGGTAAACTGCACCCGCAAGAACATACCATGGGACCCTTCCCTGTTGGACCATCCAGACTGCCATCAGACTGCATATCTTTAGCAGTCATTTATCAACTCATAGTAGATTCAATTAAGTTGGCCATCAGCCCATTGCCAAGTATTGGCAGCAAGTTACATCCAAGAAGTTGTTCTCCACACATCATCTCTTCTAGATGCTGAAAGGAAGCTTCTTACTCTGCCCCAGTGGGCCCGGGGGGGGGGCAACCAAACAGACTAAAATCCATATGGAAAGATTTAGTTTAAATACATCAGCTGAAGACCTATGTATGCAAATTAGTTCAAAAAGGATGTGAACATATTAATACCAAACATATCTTGGGAAAGGAGAAAGTATATGTGGATAATGACAGTAAGGAACAGTAAATGCATCTAGCTCTTCTTAGCTGGAGATGCAAGATGTGTGCCCCCCCCCCTTAGAGATGTTAGAATCATAGAACTGCAGAATTAGAAGGAATCCTAAGGGTCCTCTAGTCCAACCCCCTGAAATGCAGGTGGCCATTACGAAGATCAAACCTGCAACCTTGGCATTATCAGCACCACGCTCTAACCAACCGAGCTAACTAGTGCAGGGGGGCCTTCTTCTGTAGAAGTGCAATGCGAGGCCTCCCACAACCTACTCACTTTGCCTCTGGGAGCCTGGAGGTCTGAGCCTCCCTTTCTAGCTCCATACAGAAGTAGGACCATTTGTTGGCAGGGACCGGCAGTCTTTCCTGTTGCGAGTGGGACGCCTCATTCTGGGGCCGAAAGAGGCTCTGGGTCTCTTTCGCAGGGTCCCGGGCTCGGGGGTCCCTGGGTGAAAGGGAGAGGCTATGGAGACACACAATATCATACATAGGACCCCTCAAGGGCCATGCAATATAGGTCTCCCCCCCACCAGCCCTGTCTTCATCCCAAGGGCAGCCACCAAAGTTAGCAAAACTTCCACCACAGGGAACTACTGTACAAACAAAACTTGAAATCAGCTGCAGCAGCTGAGAGAGTTGACGGGAAAGGCGGGAAGCTCCGAGTTCAAGTCTCAGTTCTGCGCGACTATTAGGGTGGCCGCGCTGTGCACAGGATGGACACCTAGAAGGAGCTCTGGGGAATGTAACGTATTAGCAGCACCATTTGCACTAGAATCTGAAGCAGCAATATTCCCAACCCGCTCTTTGCCGAGGAGGGCGAGGGGCAAGAGAGAGCGGGACCAGGGTCAGCCCGCCCTGGGAGTGGGGCTTCAGCCGTAGCCCCCGGGCCTGGCTCTGCACTCGGGGACAAAGCCCACGGAGCGAGCGGGGCTCGCTTTCTGAGGCAACCGGGGCGGCTCTCTGCACATGCTCAGGAACCACGCCGGCCTTTGCCATCGTCGATCACCGTCAAAACAGCCCCGCCCCCACGCCTTTTCTTCTCCTCCCGCCAACCTCCCTCCTGAGGGAAGGATACGCTCCTTGCTCCAGCGAGCGGCTCCTTCCCGTCCCACAGCCAGATCCGCCATCTTGAAACAACTGCCCCTGCCACTCCAAACATCCCCCCGCCCCCAAGCCCGACTCTCGCCTCCCATTGGCGAGAAAGGGAGCAGAGGGAGCCGGCTCTCCCATTGCCTTCTGGGACTCGTAGTGCCTGCTCTCTATTCCTCCCCACCTACAGAACGGAAATGAACGACAGGGAGGACTGCGTTTCCCAAAAGGCACGGCGGTGCGGCTTCTGAGCTACGGGTCGCGAGAAGAGGCAAAAGGCCCCCACCTGGGGCTGTTTTCCCTCCCTTTGGCTGCGTGTACAGGTGTGCAGGTGCGGGAGGGAGGAGGAAGAAGAGGGAGGAGAAGGCCCTGCGCAGCGTCAGCAGCTCCAGCCGCACCAAGCCCTACCTGGAGAAGCTCCCCTGGCGTCCCTGGTTGGCATGGAAACTGCCAAGGGATGGAACCGCAAAGAGCCTTTCTTCCCTCCCTTGTTCATTCCATGGCGCTTCCTCCCCTCCCCTCCCAACAGCCCTGTTGTTGTACATCACATGTGCTTTAACCGTCTATGCTCCAGTCATGATCCTAAAGAAAATCGCTACCCCACGCTATGCTGATGAATCTCAGAAGAAAGGGAAAACTCCCCCTCCCTTCCTCCAAGCTGGTTCCTGCTAAGATCTGCAAAAAAATAAAAATGTTGCACCCATTTTCTTGCTTTGCATAATTTATTTGGTAATCTTTACTTTTTTGCATAGGCAGAAAGTTAAAGAATAGAACGTCAAGCTTCATAATCCATAAATGAATCAATTGTATTATTATTTACACAGGTGGGCTTCATCAGCTGTTTCCTCTTCTGGGGCTTTAAAAATGTTATCCCCCAAAGGCAACAGTCTTCCCCGGCCCCCTTCTCTGTCTTTCTGGCTCTGCCCACCCTTGTCAGGAACTAATAAGCCCTGCAACCCTAGGCAGGGTGGGGATGGGGGGGCAGGTTGGACTTCCTGCAATTCCTGTCTTTGATGCTCAGTGCCCTTGTCTGCCCCTCTGAGCATCAGCCTACTTCTTCAGCTGGAAAAAACTAGGTCAGCCATGTGCCAAGGCCCAGCGCATGAGCGCCGTCTGCAGGTGGAAGGGTGGCAATGCATGGGCTTCTTCCACACTTCCTTGATGACCAAAGGATGCTACTGTCTTGCCCCCCTCCCCGCACTCTTGGGCTCCTGCTGGGGCTGCAAAAAATTGGCTCCCAACTGGTTCTCCCCTGCACTTTATGATCTCTGAATTATTCTCCATTTATTCTCTCAGCGCTCAGATATTTTGCTTGGACACCACATGTGGATAAATGGCCTCTCTTGTGGTTTGCACCTTTCCAGGTCTCAGCCTTGTCCAGTGCCGTCTCAGCCATGTCAGTGTTATTTGGGTGGGTTCTCTTTCTATTCCTTTATTACAGAGTGTGGCGTTTGCCCTCCTAGGTGTGTGACATCATACTGGGTTCATAAGGAAAGGGTTAACTAATTGTAAAATGACTAACCATTGGGAACCCAAGGGGAGGAGTTAGAGTGATTGAGAAGTCAGTCTGGAGTTAGAAGAGACTGAGAAGATAAGTCTGTGGGTTGGGCTAGTCTGATGTGAGAGATGGAGAGAATTTGTTAAGAGGAGTCAGTCAAACAGTTGAGATAATCAGTCAGAAGGTATTAGGAAGGTATAGGCCAGTAAAGAAACTAAAGTCAAGAAACTGACAGGAATATTATCTGAGAAACCATAAACTTGTTAATGCTTATAAAATAAACTTGTTTATTTGGTTCACTTTTAACAACAGTCTGGACTCATTGTTTTACCCGAGAGTAACAGGTTGGTGGCAGCGGGGAAGCGAGCACAGTGGTGGCACAGGGATCAATAGACCATTAAACGTCCGGGGACCCTGTGTGATTGCCACCCAGAGGTTTTCAACCTTTTTGGATCCATGGCTCCCTTAACCAACTGCCCTATGGGGCTCAGGAGCCCAGTCAGGTCACCCCTTGCCTGCTGGCAGCCCCTCACCCCTTTTTGAACACCCTCCCTTGGGGAGTGTTCCCTCAGCCTCCTCTCCCCTTTCTTTGGGAGTCCTGCTGCCACCCTTCATCTCTGAGCTGCTCTCCCTGCCCCAAAGAGAGGTGGCTCCTCACACTGCCCCACAGGGGCCTGGGAAGCACCCCCTGGCCAGCCCCAGAGGCACCATTCGCCTGCTGCACCCCTGGCAATCATTGATGGCACCCCAGGTTGCCACAGCACACTGGTTGAAAACCAGTTTTATTATACAGTGGTACCTCGGGTTACATACGCTTCAGGTTACATATGCTTCAGGTTACAGACTCCGCTAACCCAGAAATAGTGCTTCAGGTTAAGAACTTTGCTTCAGGATGAGAACAGAAATCGCGCTCCGGCGGCATGGCAGCAGCAGGAGGCCCCATTAGCTAAAGTGGTGCTTCAGGTTAAGAACAGTTTCAGGTTAAGAATGGACCTCCGGAACGAATTAAGTACTTAACCCGAGGTACCTCTGTATTTCCTTGGTAGCGAGAGAGGCTGGGGGACAGGATGTGGTTGGTTGTCTTTAGTTGGCTGCAGTGAGATTTGTTTTTTTGGGGGGGGGGGTTCCTGGGCAGATTTATGAAACCAGAATGATTTTATCTGCAGGCTAAGCAACAGGCTTATCAGCTGGCTCAAAGTGAACCATAAATTGATTCTGAACGTGAAATTCATTGCAAAAAGTTGCTAGTTTTTCTCTGGTTGCAAAGGAAAGCATTTGGTGGAGGTGGCTCCTAATGGGATTCTCCCAGGGATGAATTTTGCCTCCCTTATTATTTGATGTGGTAAGGCTTGTGGTTAACTCCTGCGATTTCCGCTTTTTAGAAATGCCTGGAGCAATTCCGTTAGCTGTTCTTACGGGAGTCTCCTCAGAGATGCTGAAACAACGAAGAGGTTTGGGGCACCAGCTTTCACTGATGCATCTGATGAAGGTTTGGCGATTGTGGAGAGAGGGCAGAGTGGAAGCACAATGCACTGTGGCTTCCAGCCCTCAGGGTGGCGGTTCAGCTCTCAGTGCTAGGAGTCAGTGTATGTGTCCCAGGGACCAGATTCACAGCAAGGTTGAGTGGTCTGATACATAAAAAAAAAAACACACACACACGCCCAAGAAGTGCATTGATTGTTCCGCCCTTTTCTCAACCTCCATAAGAGGTTTCCTCAACCTCGGCCCTCCAGATGTTTTTGGCCTACAACTCCCATGATCCCTAGCTAGCAGGACCATGTTTCTCCCATCAATCAGTCACATACTCCTCATAACAATTACAGGTGGCCTTGGTGAGTCACTGGGTCGTATTTTCAGCATCGGGATCAGAACTGGTGTTGGAATGAATCCATTTCAATACGCTTTAAATGATTGCGGTGTCCCTGGAACTCAGTTTTCAAACTCGAAGGAAGCAAACATCAAGAAAAATGACTATTTCATGGCAAAACTCTGCTTACTTTGTAAACTCTGCTTTACTTTTCATGCTTTTCATGGCAAAACTCTGCTTTACTTTGTGGACTTCAACAGTACTCTGTTTTCGATCAATTTTGTGAGTGAAAACCATTCTTGTTTCTTTTGCTTGCAGCTTTGACTGTAGCGGACGCGGGTGGCGCTGTGGGTTAAACCACAGAGCCTAGGACTTGCCGATCAGAAGGTCGGTGGTTCAAATCCCTGCCACGGGGTCAGCTCCCGTTGCTCCTGCCAACCTAGCAGTTCGAAAGCATGTCAAAGTGCAAGTAGATAAATAGGTACCACTCTGGCGGGAAGGTAAATGGCGTTTCCGTGCGCTGCTCTGGTTTGCCAGAAGCGGCTTAGTCCTGCTGGCCACATGACCCGGAAGCTGTACGCCGGCTCCCTTGGCCTATAAAGCGAGATGAGCGCCACAGCCCCACAGTCAGTCACAACTGGACCTAATGGTCAGCGGTCCCTTTACTTATTACAGTGGTGCCTCGCAAGACGAAATTAATTCGTTCCGCGAGTTTTTTCGTCTTGCGATTTTTTCCGTCTTGTGAAGCACGGTTTCGGAAAAGTTTTGGAAAAGCTTCAAAAATCACCAAAGTCTTCAAAAACCTCAAAAAAGGCTACCACACCGCGTGCTATGAGTTGCTCCTCGAAGTCAAGTCGCAACTGTATTAACGGTGTTAAGAAAAAGGAAACAAACTTGCAAGACGTTTCCGTCTTGCGAAGCAAGCCCATAGGGAAAATCGTCTTGCGAAGCAACTCAAAAAACCAAAAACCTTTTCGTCTTGCGAGTTTTTTGTCTTGCGAGGCATTCGTCTTGCGAGGTACCACTGTACTTGACTGTAGCAGGCAATGTTCGTATGCTACATTAACAGGAATACACATAAAAAAATTCCTTCCAGTAGCACCTTAAAGACCAACTAAGTTAGTTCTTGGTATGAGCTTTCGTGTGCATGCACACTTCTTCAGATACACTTCTTCAGATACAGTGTGTATCTGAAGAAGTGTGCATGCACACGAAAGCTCATACCAAGAACTAACTTAGTTGGTCTTTAAGGTGCTACTGGAAGGAATTTTGTTTGTTTGTTTGTTTTGACTATGGCAGACCAACACGGCTACCCATCTGTAACAGGAATACACATGGCAGCCAGAAGAGGGCAGCCAAATCCCATAGTCTGCTCGGCTACAGGTTTTCTAAGATAGAGAGCGGACTTTATATCTTGTACTGGTGAACTACAGGCAGGCATTGCTGCATGTAGGTGACTGGACACTCCAGATTTAATAGATTTGATGGGGAAGGAAGCTTATTTCAATGGTAAGGTGTCTTTATTTCAACTTGTGGCAATAAGCCAGCTCTGCTGTGTTTGGGGGCCCTTCTGTGCTTTCTGCTGAGGGGCCCCCGACGGCTGCCACACAGCTGCCTTCTTTCCCCCAGGAAGCTCTCAAGTTGTGCAAAATTGTGGCCATTGAAAGCTCAGCAGGCCATTTAAAATTATTTTCTTTTATTATTCGTCCTGCTGGCATTTCCTAAGCAAAGACCTGAAATGAATGTTTGCAAAGATTCACCCA